ATGCCTTCAATATCTTATCTGTTCTTGCATCTTTACATAAAGACTTTCTGATTTTCGAATCTCAAAATTGCCTCTTGCTAATTCTAGAAATCCGAATACTCACTCAGACAATCGACGGGACCCCTCCGCCGGACAGTCCGAAACTGCCAGAGTCGCGCCGGACCCAGTTGACCAATGAGAGAGGGGCAAATGGGCGGTCCATCGCGGTGACATCACTGGCAGGCAAGTGGGAGGCTTCTCCGGCCCTGCTGCAAAGGTCCGCCATCTCTCCGGCGCGACTCTGCCAGATTTGGCGGACTCCGCGCCGGAGAAATTTGCCCGGCGCGAGTCCGCCAAATTTGGAAGAGCCGCGCCGGAGAAAATGGGAGGGGTCCGGAGCAGGAAATGGGAGGTATCCGGAGCAGAAATGGGAGGTATCCGGAGCAGAAATGGGAGGTATCCGGAGCAGAAATGGGGGGTATCCGGAGCAGAAAATGGGAGGTATCCGGAGCAGAAAATGGGAGGTATCCGGAGCAGAAAATGGGAGGTATCCGGAGCAGAAAATGGGAGGTATCCGAAGCAGAAAATGGGAGGTATCCGGAGCAGAAAATGGGAGGTATCCGCCGGACAAATGGGAGGTATCCGGAGCAGAAATGGGAGGTATCCGGAGCAGAAAATGGGAGGTATCCGGAGCAGGAAATGGGAGGTATCCGGAGCAGAAATGGGAGGTATCCGGAGCAGAAAGTGGGAGGTATCCGGAGCAGAAAATGGGAGGTATCCGGAGCAGAAAGTGGGAGGTATCCGGAGCAGAAAATGGGAGGTATCCGGAGCAGAAATGGGAGGTATCCGGAGCAGAAATGGGGGGTATCCGGAGCAGAAAATGGGAGGTATCCGGAGCAGAAAATGGGAGGTATCCGAAGCAGAAAATGGGAGGTATCCGGAGCAGAAAATGGGAGGTATCCGCCGGACAAATGGGAGGTATCCGGAGCAGAAATGGGAGGTATCCGGAGCAGAAAATGGGAGGTATCCGGAGCAGGAAATGGGAGGTATCCGGAGCAGAAATGGGAGGTATCCGGAGCAGAAAGTGGGAGGTATCCGGAGCAGAAAATGGGAGGTATCCGGAGCAGAAAGTGGGAGGTATCCGGAGCAGAAAATGGGAGGTATCCGGAGCAGAAATGGGAGGGCTCCGCCGGACAAATGGGAGACCACCGCTGGGGAAATGCCGCGACCCTGCCATTTCTCCGGCGGAGGGGTCCTATCCGCTGTCTGAGCACGGCATTCCGACGGAATTGGCAAGAAGCAGTTTGTGCTGTTTGAATTCAAACATCTCGTAGTGCTCGCTTTAATCTATCAAATTCCTGTATTCAGAAAAGTTATCAATTAACAGTCGCTGCACAAGATTATGGTGTTTGAAACATGGTAAACGAAACACCATTGTACTCCTTTGTGCTGCGGTAGTTATCTCAACAAAAACAATTTACGTTGAAGTGCGATGAAGCCTATAAGATGGTGTTCAATCTTTTCGTGTAGTGTTGTCGTCGACTGACACTGCCCACTGTAATGCTTGATAAACATCATAGTGAATAGCTTTAGTTCTTGAGTCTTTTTATTATCAGGGTGTCTTCTAAATTTTGTACCATATATGTCAGAAGTATTAAGGTGTCTCATAATTTTTACAGTTTTTACTACAACCGCCGCATTTCTGAATCTTTCCTTCATCTGATGTGCTTGTGCAATTATTCGACAGGGGAAAGCAAGCTCTACAAGATGCTATCAAAAGTCTGCCCAACTCGTATCCCACGTGAAGTTTTGAGCTGAAATCTGACAGTAGTCGAAAACGAACATTTCTGTCAAAAATCGTATATACGCCCCAAATCATCAAAAAAATTCCCCATTTATCCTAGCATATGCTTGACACATCGCGTATCTAACTGTACACTTTCCGAATTTTTTCCATGGCTAGAAATAAAGAAAGAATGAGTGAGGTAAAATGGCAAACTCCGCCGCTAGACGTCCTGAGCTCCTCTCACGCATGTGATCATATTGCCCATACATACAGAAGTACAATCATGTATTTGTATACTTTGTAGGTGCCTCAGTTCTCGACAAATGCTAATGTTTAGGCTAAAAACGGGAAAAAACTATGAGAAGCCTAATATATGGAAAAACGGCTCAACGTAGGAATGAACTGAAACTGACAGAAATTCTACCTTTCAAACTGTCACTCGAAATTTTGAATATGCGTTCCAAAATTAAAAAATATCTCGCTTTTCAGCAGTGTTATAGTAAATTTCTTTGCCAGCCTCGGAGAATTAGTCATTTTCGGAACAGAAATCTTTCCCGATGTAGCTCCAACACTGCACCTGTTGGTCCTAACACAATTCAGTACGTTTACAAATCGTTGTAAATTAGAGTCAAATTTGGATAAACGAACAACCATATAGTATTAGTATTTGTTAATGCAACGTTTCGCTGAATCGCTCGTGGAATTTCTAGCTTGCATGTTCAGTAACGATCTCGTTCAATCCAGTTCTCTTCTGACTTCGAATTTCAGTGTCTAAATGCAAACACTTCGTGCATTTTTCCATGAAGGCCCCAATAATTTAGATTATCCATATTCTAGCTTTACCTTCCTCATTATCGTTCGGAAATTTAGGCTGTATCATTTTTTCCAATGTTTTTTCAAGCATAACCAAATCAAAACCTCAACCCGGATGGTGTTTCTACTAATTGAGCGTTCTCAGCGTATGCCGCAAGGTCTGCCATAATCCTCATGAACACCTGATGTTTGAATTAAGAGTTCGCAACTATCGTGAATGTGCCCCGAAGTTATATAGGCACTGTTTGACTGTTAATATCTCTTCTCTCCAAAGCCTTTTGTAGCACTGAGCTAAGAGCAAGCCTCATTTTGGATGCACATATAAGCCAATCAGCGGTTTCTCATTGTCGCTCGGTACTTACAGTAGAAACTCTGAAGAGCATTTTAACCTCGATGGTTGCTCATAAAATGAACCAAAGCTTCTACTCTTACACTGGCGAAAGCGATCGCTAATTTTCTTCCGTACTGTAAATTCAAGTTGAAAGGCAACTGCACAGAATGGTGTGTATCTAAAGGCCTTCAAAAAACTTTGGGAAAAGCCACTAACGATTATTCGATACTGTAACACCCTTTATGTACACCTTTTCAAAAAATGAAACAATCCTTTGCAAGATAGTTCTTATTCGTTGCGTTGAATGCGTTCATTGCGACATTAAACTGTAATTCTTTAAGAAATTTATTCAACTCTAATGGACAATAGTTGGATTGCCGCTCTCATAATTTTACTGGTAAGTGCGCTCTCAATATTTTTCTGTTACATATACACATGTGGCACGCTTTAGATCTCATCTTTTGGCCTGATTTGCAACATGGCAGTGCTTATTTTTGCTCGCAAAGTGACGACGTTAAAAAATGCATTTGGTAGGCTGTCAAGCAGCCAAGCTGCTGCAGAAGCAATTTTTTGTGCAACATTTTTATTCTACTACACTCCAATGGTCTTTTCGTGAGTTTCAGAAGCATATAAAGTCACAAATTTTGTTATCGAGTGTATTCTAGTCACCCGGTTTTTTTTTCTTTGATGAATTCACATCATGGTTGCGATGTTCAAGAAAAAATCATGCTTTTTTAAATACTCATTCCATTTTTCGCTCCCAGTAATTTCTTGAGTTTTCAGTGATAGCTTGATTATGTCGGAACTGTCAAAGTACGCTGGAATGTTCATTAGCACTTCATACAGCATTTGTACTTTATCGCATCTTCTTATCGGGCTAAATAGAATGTGTGCTATATGCATTCCGATGAAATATAATACAATTTTTAGGTGAGTTTTAGCCTTCATGTGCTCTTTTAAGCAAAAAAAACGTTAGGTTTGAAAAATAACTTGGTTCTGGTTATTACGATTTCAAATTGTTACAACGGAAAGGTATTTGTGTCATTCACGTTAAAAAGATTATGTTTGCAGTACTGGAAACACGAACATTATGATGGCAATCATTTGGGCATTATCTATCCTCTTGACAGTTTACGTCAACGTATACGGTGTGTTTAACTCTAAGTTTTGTTGCTGGAATCGGAGTATGACTATTGCTTCTTACAATGAAAGCCCGTAACAGGTTGTCTTTCTCTTCTTTCTTAAGAGCATGACTACACCATTGAAAAAGCTTGAAAAACTCGTAAAAGTTAAACTAGTGATATTAGCTTGCCTTTTAATTACTTTTTTAAAACGACCCAATACACAATGGCGGCACTATGCCAGAAGTGCCCATCGACTTTACATTGATGAAGAGCAATCTGATCATTTTTGGAGGCAAAATTGTTCAGAATCGCTCAAATTCAAAGCATCGAAAGTGCTTTAGGCAATAGCATCTCTTGCCTGATATACAATCAACACTGCTCTAATAAAGCGCTAAAAGGACCATAATTCCCGTTGCGGTTTTTTGTACCAAAACACTCATGTCTCGCCGTTTGTTGGAGTTTGCTGATGACGAAAGCAGTTTTGATCGGCGAGCAGAGCTTAAAATGTATAGAGTTTATTTGGAAAGGCCACTTCAACTGATAACTTTTCTCTTGTTAGAAAGTATTGAGTGCATCTAAGCCACGAACTCTAGGACCGTTGAGAGATCAAAAGAAAATGAGCCTCAGTCTTGTATAATGTATATATAAGATTTGCGTTTACCTAGGCCATACGAAACTGATTGCCATTGCAAATCAAAATAGACGTCTAAGGAACTTTATAAAACTTGCAAGGTTATTGCTGTCTTTTCAAAACAATGTGTGATCATTTCAGTTGGATGCCACTTCATATATATCAGTCCGATAAACGCATTTACTTTTGTAACAGATCAGGTACTAACGAGAACGTCCTCATCGTTTGAAAAATAAATTCCATACCTTTGAGGCATCAGATTTCAATGGCCGCTCCTTTTACTTCGCCAAGAATTTTGGCACTTTTGTATTGACAATTGCAGTCGACATCGTAACTATGCTGGCAGTAAGGAGTACGTCAAATAAGGTGAGTGCTTTCGGCAACAGTCGTAATTTTTGATCCGTAACAATCTGTTTAGCTTGCAAATAAGAGCAAGGAATTTCAAGTAAGACGATCAAGAGAGCTAAACCTACTAAAGCAGGTAATCGACTGCCATTTTGACAGCTTAAATTTATGAATTTTTGTTCAAACTACATATTTGCAGACTGTGGCCCAGGCCGTTGTTTTTGCAGCTCAAATTCTCTGCTTATCCTGGCTAGCGGGGCTGTCTAGTAATGAATGGGCAATTTGGTCAATGACTATTGTATCGTGGAATCTTCTGCATCTCATTGATCCGTAAGATTTCGAACAATTTTCACTGATCGTTTATCAAACTAAGTCGCCGTTTGATAATACTAATCTTGCTTTTTACAAAATCAAAATTCAGAATTATCATCATAGCGTTCAATAGAGAATTCCGTCGATTAATCTACTCCTTACCAAAGGTTAGATTTTTTATCCACTTGATATTTGAAAGAGTAACCACACTCTATTCTTGAATGTCAGGCTTCCACCCAGCCAGCGAAATCTACTTCACTCTTATTCCACACGAGGCAGAGAACATACTAATAGTTTATTGGGTTGTTATATTCACCCATGTATGCAAATCCCTTCTGTATTCAATTATTCGTGGTTCTTAAGTTTAATAAAACATTACCACAAAAACAAATCGCAAGATTTCTTGACATTAATTCATGTCATTGGTTTATTAATACCGTTTTTGGCTTCTGCCCGTAAAGAGTGCTGCTGTGGTCATCTGGAGGTAACAAGAAATATGAATGCGAAGGAACATGTGGCAGACAATGCTACCTTAGGTCATGTGTTGCTACCTTGATGAAGCGAGTACAGATAAAACTTGTGAAAAAGGCAAGAATTCTCCATCAATCAACAGCGATAGATTGCAAATTTTGTGCGCCACTATGAAGACTGTGACGATGCTACCACATTATACTACTTCAACCTTACTTCTACGTACAAGCTAAGACAGAAGCTTGAAGCATCGTCCACCGTAGGTTAGAGGTTTTGAGCTTTGGCAGCATACCGAGTGGCGGCGCAAAATGTCGTTTGGGAGCGAGAAAAAGCTTCATTAAGGAAGAGGCAGGAGGCCCTAGACGGTACCGTCCCCTCCAATAATGTCCGCCCATCAGTGCATGCCCATCCAATCACCGTTCTGGAGAACCGGCCTGCGGATTCTTCGAAACGGGGACGTAATTTTCGCGGATTCTCGACTTCATACTCGGAACCAGAAAAAAGAGAAGGACCCGGAACGATGAAAACATGGAGGTTGAGAATCTGGGTGACCGGCGCCTTTGAACTCCTTCCGGTTGTGAAGCACTTGGAGTTAGAGCGTGTGCTAGAGCGTCGCACTAGTCGAATGCAGCATATCAAGACAAGAGAAGTTGCATATTATAAACGGGAATTCTGCCTATCATTGAGCAACGTGAATGAGTTGAAAACAAACGAAATTCCCGAAGTAATTGACTTATTGTTTTTATATAGTTTGTCTGTACAATGATGGCCAATCACCGGGTGATCGTTTGTAGAGTAATCTACCATTTCATTATTCTTGTACTTTGAACCGAGGCGCCGAGGGTTAGTACACTAACGAAGGAGTGGTAAGCATGCGAAACCACAGTGGAAAGGAAAATGTTCCATAAAAATGAGGTAAATGTCGTCTAGAAGTGGTGTATAGTAGCGTGAAGTTCGATCTCTATATTGAGTTCGTTCAAATGCTTTGCCGCACCATTTTAACAATTGTACATCATCTTGTCACGATAGTGTTGCACAGCGTCAATTCTAATAGAAAGAGTAAATCATTTTTTTGCTCTCTACTAAACTCTGATTGCAAAGATAAATGCAAAAAGGAGAGCGCATCTAAAGCAGTCAGTGTTCTCTAACTTCTTCTTTCCAAATAAGTAAAGTTTGTGGTGATCGGGCTTTTCTGTGAAAAGCTATGATTTTCGAAAATATGACTACAATTTTCCCGTTTATCTTCTCGAAAGTAAATTTTCTAAGGAAGAGCTCGATCAGAATATTGCTTCTCAAAAGAAATCAGAATCTTATGACGCTGACTATTTCGGATTCTATGGCACGGTTTTTAGGTTTATTGAAGGGCTTGCTAATCACCCATTTTCAAGTGATCTTCTTCTTCTATTTTTTACCTTGCAGTCAGAGCTTTGTAGAAAAGAAATATGGTGTCGAGAAATACTCTATCAAATAAGGTTGATGTTATGTAAGCTTATCGTGACAGAAGATGTTACGAGAAATGGTGCGACAGAACTTTCGGGTCAACCTAATACAGGGTGTCAAAAAAGTAAGTACACACTTTTCAATAGTCAATATCTCTCGTATTAATGGGTCTTTTTTAGCCAGTCAAGTACCACACTGTAGAGGAGGCTTCAACTTAGATTTTCAGTATTGACTGAATCACCGCTCGCTCTTCGTTACTGTAGGATTACGGTAAGAACTTGCAGCATGTGGAACCATTATGAATTATGCCTTATGACAAAATTTTTTTCAAAAAATCTGAAATTGTGTACTAGGGTTTTCGCGCACGCTGATTCTACAACACAACTTTTACGAGTGTTTTCAGCTTTTTTGACGGTGTAATCACATTTCTGACAAATTCTGGGGATTCAGTTATTACGGTTTACGTGGGATAACTTTGGAAAGACGCATCAGAGTAAAGTAGAAATTTCATATTCGGAATCAGCGGCTTCCATTACCATAGTATAAATGTGGTTGGCTTGTTTGGTTTTGTTCCGAGGCAGAATATGGCTTCCAATGGCCTAACATCCTTGTCGCTGTTCCTACATTAATCCTACAGTAATGAAGAGCGATCAATGATTCGCTCGATACTGTAAATCTAAGTTGAAGCCTCTTTCACAGACTGGTACTTAAATAGCGGTAAAAGACCCAGTGGGAAGAGAGATATTAACGATTGAAAAGTGTGTACTTACTTTTGGGACATCCTGTATATCGGCAGCGACCTAGCGAAGTGGGTATGCTAGCTAAAGTATTTATAAAGCTCAATCTGTACTACGTTGAGTCAAAAGTAATGAGAACTTCTTACTCCCAATCTTAGCTTTTCCGCAAATTGGGTAGAATAATGACAGACAAGTCTCTATATATATATATATATTGTGTTCAGAGCAGATTTTCTTCCTCTTTCCAGCAGTCGTGTTAACGGGCAATCTCTCTTGAGAATGCCAAAAATTGCCATTTTTATTTCAAAGTTCTGAAACAGTTGGATCAAATTAAAATAAAGCAAACCTTGTCGTTTTTACGCAAAATCTTTGAAATTCGAAAGCTCCAAAAGTTGTTTTACCAAGCTTTCATCGTTCTAAATTTTGTAATCCAAAATTTTCGGAGACAATAATCGCTACTATAGAAACCGCAAATGCTTTAATTTCAAAAATTCGCTAATTATCTCAGCAGTTATGGAAAGATTTGGTTAGAAAACATAGCTATTGGAGGGAGAAGGAAAAACTGCGTCGAGTACCATTTGGAGCACTTTTCTGTTGAAATTCTATCTAATTTGAGCATACGTCCAAGAAGAGTGTAAAATTCTCATTACTTTCAACTCACACCGTATATGTAGTGTGTATCTGCAACGTAAAGGGTCCAAAATTGCTCGCCCCAAAAATTGCTACTATCAAATACTTGTGTACTTCTAAGTAACAAACGAACTAAACTGGGTTAACAGGGATCATACATTTTCTGCAAGTCCAACTATTTTTCCATGCTAATGTATGTAACTTAACATGATGTTTGCTTTCCTTTTATCTTTGCACCCCTTTAAACGCCATTATTTTTTTCGGAGTAGAGATTGTGCGATGAAACCAACCTAGTCTTTACAAGTAGAAAGATTTTGAGGGACGTTTGAAACGAAGATGTTGAATGTCTGTATGACTGTATGCATGAGCATGCGCTAATGTGTCATGTTTCTGCTCTGTATAAAGACTATGGCTGGTTCGAATTCGGAATCTGCTTCTTGCTATTTTTGAAACTGGAATGCTCGCGGCATTTTGATTTTCGAATTATTCGCAAAGATTTTGGCTCTGAACGTAACCATCTCGTAGTGCTTGATTTGCTCTATTGAAATTGAGTTCTGTTTAGGAAATTGTCGAAATTTTTCGATGTATAAATAATCTAGCAAAGACTTTTCGATGAATGAGGAAGCGTATGTTTGCACTCAATTATGGTGTTTGAAATATGACAATCCGCAGACCGTAACTCAAAACACCATTAAATCTCTTTGTGCTACGCTAGTCAGTATAACAAAAACAACCTACGTTAGCAGTGCGGTGAAGCCTATAAGATGAAGTGTTGAATCTCTTTGTGTAGTGTTGTGGCGTACTGACACTGTCTATGCAATGCTTCGAAAACATCAGAGTCAACTTTAAATTTTTGAGTTATATATTTGCACCAAAATAAGTTTGTCGAAAATTTCCAGAATAGCCGTTCGAGTTACTCGACTGGTATGGATTTGAATAAAATTTAAAAGCCTTTGAGATTTATGAATTCACGACTCTGCTTTCCAGAAATAGAAGGTGTTTGTGCAACAGTAATACTTGCTATTTTCCTTTCGTTGGCCAGCCTAGGGAAAATTTGGCAATTCTCGGACCAGACTTTCTCGATGTCACTGTAATGATTTGCGAGCACGTCTGATACGGCCAAAAATCTGCTGAATCTAACACAATTTATGCGTCTGGGACAATCATATCTAAACTAGTTGTGGTAACCTGAGATTGATCTCGAGATTGCTCTGATTTGGTAAACGTACAATCCAAAAGCTTTTACTTATCATCGTTTGTGCAACTTTTCGATGATTCGATTTGAAAATGGGTTCCTGGTTAGCATGTTCAGATACAATTGATTTGATCCCCTTGCTGTCGCCCAGGATCAAGCTGTCTCTGTGTATGAAATCTCAAATATATATATGCACCGTCTGATAGTCCCTCTCCTTCACAAAGTTTTTGCCGACAGTAAGGTACAACCCTGTAAGGTTGGCCTCATCTTACAAGGGAGGCATGTTTAGTCGAAGTTTTAGATGGGATGTACTCCATACTGTAGGGCATAAAACGCTAATTCCAAAGCTGCTTTCTGCGGAACATTTATGGACGAGGAGCTATGAGGATTTATTAGAACAAAAAAATGTGCAAAAGGACAAAGATAATCGTATGAGGGCTAGTAATCTTTCAGCACCTCATTTTATCCTAAATGCACATTTGAATTTTTGCTTCAATAAACACTCATAGCTCCTCGTCCACAAATGTTCCGAAACGAATAAGGAAGGCAGCTTTGGAATCAGAATTCTATGCTCTTTAACATTGTCTACATCCCATCTAAAGGGGTCACTCTGACTGAATATGCTTTCTTTGTTTGCAGTACAAAGCAAGTCAGCGATCTCTCTTCGCCACTATAGGATTACAGTAGGAATTTTGAAGAGATTTCAAGCTTTTGACGGCTTTTATTGCTCAGAAAACGAACCAAACGTTCTGAGTGTTATACTAAATCAGATCAGTTGCTGACCTTAACTATGAAAATTGCACTTTTGTAATGCTTCGTTCGTGGGTTATTCCAAGTGATCGTTGCGACTATTTTCTCAGTTTCTTCCCTCAAAAATGTGATTACAATGTCATAAAAATGTGTATTTTTGAGGAAAGTTCAAGCAGTGAAATCAGCATGATTGAAAATTCCGCTAGACATGGCCAGATTTTTTTGAGATTTGGCTAAGCTGCAACACGTTCGCAACCGTTGTAAGCAAAATGCTCCTAACGCGGTCTTGCGGCAATGAAAACTGATCAGTGTTATGCTCTATGCTGTAAATCTAACATAAGTTGAAGTCGTCTGTAGTGGTACCTAAAGGCTAGCAAAAGAGTCTTTGAGAGAAAGATATTAACGATAAAACAGTGTATACATATTTCTGAGACATCCTGCTTACAATAAGAAAAAATTAAAGTTGTAGTAATAACGAAATTCAAGAATGTCCAGTTCTCTTTCATTCCCAACATTAAACCGAAAAGGATAAGAGTGCGACCTTCCCCGAAAATCATCAGCAGTGAGGGGAGATCATGTGCTTTGGGAAAAATAACAAGGGAACTGACCTCAAACTTCGTTCTACTCACTCCTACTTCTGTTGTCATCATATGTTGAACATATCTCAAACTTGGGTAATTAAACATCTATAATTATCTTACAGTAAGAACCGATTAATGTTATGCTCTAAACTGTAGATCTAAGTTGAACTTCTCTAAAAGTGGTACCTGAAGGTAAGCAAAAGAGTTTTTGTGAGAAAAAGATATCAACGATCAAAAATGCATATATACTTCTGAGACTACTGCTCATATCTATCATCTTAAACAAGAAATAATCCGCCGAAAGATAGTTTCTTGTCCGCTGCGTTCCGTGATTCTTAAAAAATTCATTTAGTTCTAATGGATAACAGCTGGATTGCCGCTATTATAATTTTATTAGTAAGTGTGCACTCAATATTTTTTCTGAGTTCACTCTCACATGTTACACAAATGACAATGGGTGCTTTAGATTTCATCTGCTGGTCTGATTTGCAACTTAACAGTGCTTATATTCGCACGCAAAGTGACGACGTTGAAGAATGCATTCGGCCGGCTTTCAATCAACCAAGCTGCCGCAGAAGCAATTTTTTGTGCGACATTTTTATTCTACTATACTCCAATGGTCTTTTTGTAAGTGTGCCGAGATCCTTAAAGTTTGCATCTTTTGTTGTATTTCCACCTTGGTTAGCGGGCACTTTTGTGATCTTATAGGCGATGGCCCGGCAAAATTTTGTTTCCCAGTTTTTCACCTTTTCAGGAACTTCTTTATATAAAATTCGTGTCTGGGCTTTTCAGAAAAATGACGAAAACGAGTTTTTTCCAAAACTTTCCAAGACGCATTTATTGAAGATACGCCGAAAGTCCTTCCTCGCTCCGCCTCCCTCGTTCCAGGCCCCGCCCACTTACACGTATTCTCCACTGGATGGTGACCTGGAAAGCTTTGGAAAAAGCTCATTTTCGCCATTTTTAGGTGCTAAGCCCAGATGTGGGTTCCATATGGCGAGAAGGCTCCTGAAAGATGAGAAACTGGAAAACGAAATTCTGCCGAGACATTGCCTGACATCACGTTTGCGATGTTCAAAACAAAACCGCACTTCTTTGAATACTCATTCCATTTTCCCTCCCAGTAATTTCTTAAGATTTCAGTGATAGCTTGATTATGGTGGAACTGTCAAACTACGCTGGAATGTTTATTAGCACTTCCTACAGCATTTGTACTTTATCGCACCTTCTTATTGGGTTAAATAGAATGTGCGCTATATGCTTTCCAATGAAATATAGTACGATTTTTGAGTGGGTTTCAATCTTCTATGCTCTTTTGAGAGAAAAAAATTGGCTCTAAGAATGATTTGATTCTGGTGATTAAGATTTCAAGTTGTGACAACAGAAAGGTATTTAATTATGTTGAAGATTGTGCTTCCAGTAACAGAAACACGAATATCATGATAGCAATCATTTGGGCTTCATCCATTATCTTGACACTCATCATCAACATATACGGTTTGTTTATATCTAAGTTTTGCACGAACTGCTTAAGTAACCTTGCTTGTTACATTGAATTGATCAAAATTTCAATTTTTCTAGCTCACCGGTAATTCTCGTCTCTACTACAGGGTGTCCCAATAGTATGTGCACACTGTTTGAGTCTACAGCACTTTCCTATAAAGCTTTTTCCGCTTCAAGGCGCCGTTCTGTAGAGCTGCTTTCAACTTAGATTTATAGCATAAACCGACGTTCTCGTATAGGTTTACAGTAGGTTTAGAGAGGGGAGGGAATGTTAAAAGCCATTGAAGGTCGTATTTTGTCTCAGAACAAATATGAAAGGTGCGCTTTACCGGCATTGAAGGCACCGTCCACCCTAATTCATGAGTCTTGAGCTTCTGGCAGCACGATAGTAGGACACTCTATCAAGCTAATGACCAAGTCGCGGCGCAAAATGTCGCTTCGGAAGTGAGAAATTGCTCCAAGACAGCGAAGAGACATGAGGACCCCAAGTCATGCTTCCCTCCAGTAATGCCCGCTCATTTATGCGCGATCATCAAATCACCGTTCCGGAGAACTGGTCTGCGGTTTTTGGAACGGGGATTATGGGGTTTTCGCAGATTCTCACTTCCTTTGAGTAACAGGGACATGAGAGGTCTCCTCGACTAAAACATGGAAGCCGAGAATTTAGGCGGACGATGCCTTTAACGTCTCTAAAAAATGTGAATAAAACGTTTATAAAGCTTGGAAAACTCGTGAAAGTTGGTCAGTGAATTTAGGCGCGCGAAAAACCTGCTACATTTATTCTGAACCTTTGTTGAAGCTGCCCCACAATGGCGGCATTGTATTACGAATTCCTACCGTAATTTTAAACTAATGAAGGAATTGGTGATTAGCGCCATAGGAGTACAAACTGAAGCTAGCTCTATAGAACGCAAAACAGCGTATTATTTTTCTCTCATCAAGTCTTAGGGCTTGTGCGCAATTGGTGTTAATCTTGCAAGTAGAAGTTTTGCGTAAAACATTTACGATTGAAAAAACACCTTTCAAAGTACTTACTTTTCTAAATTACTGTTGCTTACAACGAAATGTCTTTAGTCGAACTAGCCTTCCACAGGCCTCTACTCTATTGAGGAGCCAAGAAAGCTGGGTCCATATCTGTTTGTTATTAACTGGCGAGCTCCTCTAAACGCCGAGCTGTAAGAGTTTGTGGAGATCAAATGATTTAGAGCTTAAAGGTCTATATTGAGTATCATTTACTTTAGGCAATCGATACCTCTTACATGATATACACATACCCAACATTGCTCTATTTGAACGTTAAAGTGGCCGTAATTAGATTTGGTAAACCTCGCTCGAATTTTTGTAGTAAAACACTCACTCGGCGTTCAGAAAAACTCGTCAGAATCGGAAACAGATTTGGATTCGGCGTTTAGGGCTTTCCAAAGTTTATAGAATTCATTTGAAAAGGCCACTTCGACTAGTAACACTTCCTTGTTGGGGAAGACTACGGCTTTCAAGCCACGATCTTTGAGTAGTCAAAAGATTATGAAAATTTAAATGATCTTTAGTTGTAGATATGGTATGCGGGAAAAATGCATTGACCTCAGGCCTTTTTCGCTTGTTTTCGTTAAATCACATTTGTAACGTAAAAATGGCGACTTTTCGGGACAGAGATACAAGCTGCGCATGAATAATGTTGAATTTTAGCCCCAGATAACAGCCCATGCAGTCTCCATTGGCCTTGAAAACAGAGCATGTTGTGTCATTATAATAACCGCAATACCAAATAATCGAAGATGGTTGAGTAAAATTTGAGTCACCCCCCTTGATCTCATATCTCAAATGACTCAAATTTCACAAAGTTTTCAAGTAGTCATTTTCTCTTGCAAAGTAAATTATAACCTAGAGAAATACTAATGAAACTTGCAAAGTTACTGTGTGATTGAGCCTTTACAAATAACAAGTGTGATTATTTTAGTGAAATGTCGCTTCGTATACTGGAGTTTACTGAATGCATTCGTTTTTGTTACAGATGAGGTAACGAGCACGTTCTCATCGTATGAAAAAACATCCCATACCTTTAAGGCATCAGAATTCAATGCCCGCTCCTTTTATTTCACCAAGAATCTTGGCACTTTTGTATTAACAATCTCAGTCGATTTCATAACTATACTGGCAGTGAGGAATACGTCAAATAAGGTGAGTAATTTCGGTAACAGGGGTAAATGTGATTTAACAATCTGTTTAGCTTGCAAATAAGAGCAGGGAATTTCATGTAAGACGATCAAGAGAACTAAACCTACTAAAGCAGGTAATCAAGTCTCACTCTGACAGCTTGGATTGAATTTTTACTCTATTTTTTGCTATTTGCAGGCTGTCGCTCAAGCCGCTGCTTTTGCGGCTCAAATTTTCAGCATATCCTGGTTGGCATGGCAGTTTGATAATGGATGGGCAATTTGGTCATTTACTGTAGTAGCGTGGAACCTTCTGCATTTGATCGACCCGTAAGATTTGAAACAACTTTTGCTGATCATTTATCAAAAAACCTGTAGCGTTTGATAATACCAATCTGGCTTACTATATAAATCCAAAAGGTGAAGATTCAGAGTCATCATCATAGCGTGCAACAAGGAATTTCGTCGACTTATCTTCTCCTTAACAAAGGTTGGATTCTTTATTTACTTGATAAGTGAGCGTAAAGTGGCACACCTTTATTACTGAAATGTCAGATTTCTACTCAGCCACTGAAATCTACTACTTCACTTCATGCCGTATTCCACTCGCGACAGAACACCTCTTGAAGTTTTATTCAGTTGGTATACTTGTTCAGATGTGCGAATTTCTTCCGCGTTGTGAATATTATGCGTGATCCAAAAATGCCCAAAAAAACGCGAGATTGATACCCAGTACATATTTGTCATTGCACTGCAAAACCCATTCCAAAGTTTTAATAATAATGTGCTGTACTGTGTACAAGTCGAGGTAACAAGAAATAGAAAAATTCAAACATTTGAGGGCACAATGCCACCGTGCACCATATGGGCCGTTAGTAATCTACCCTACCTGGTGGCATCAAAGATGCCTCCAAGTTGACACACCACGGAAAGCTGCCAACTGTGGCGGCAACTCGCGGATTGAATGTAGGTTCTGATAGCCTCATAGGATCTCAATTCGCATGCCTATGCACAAGGTCACAATGGCCTCCTCGACCAGGAAGATCTTAGTGAAAAGGGCGGTTGGGAGGGCACAGATTTGAGATCGGTGTTGCCGCCGACTTCACGTAAAGGTGACGACGACCTGACGGCGAAACAGGCTACCAGGTCGGGGGGATTACTACCGGCCATGGTGTCCAACCTCGATGGAGCGAGTATAGCTGGGATTTGTGAAGTGATAGTCATCTTCATCAATCAACCGATAAATTGTAGATTTTGTGCCGCAAATTGTGAATTGTGACGATGCTACAACATTTGCTCCTGCAAGAGTGTTGCGCAATTCGCCTTTGAGCTGTTTGAAGTCAAGAAACTCTAGCAAGTACTGAGACAAAAGTGTAAACATTTCCCTTTAATCAAACCCACCTCAACTCTGCTGCAAACCCGAACTCATTTTAGCTTGCCATTTTTCGAGGCTTCGCGTAATTATCCCTCCTTCCTCTTGACCCGACCTATTACATTTGTGTTCATGCTATCACAAATGATGGTAGATTATGATCGCCCTTAGGGGTATCTACACTTGCTCCTCCTCATAAACTCATACGGCAAGTTTTAAGCTCTGCTGCAAATCTTGCACCTTATAAGAGCACTACAGAGCTACTCGATTCGTCCTGTCGAATAGTACAACAAAGCCCATTCAGTGTTTGACAATAAATTGAGTTACTGAGTAGAAAGTCTATTGGAATGATAGGCAACATGGTTCTTTGGTTTCGGCCTGATGTAACTTCCGCAAATTGGAGGTATGGTAAACAGCGAGGTACAGTCGGTTCCATCCAAGATTAGGCGGAACATTCCACAAGGAGCGGCGCGTGCGCACCGCTGGAGGCTTCGCGAGCGCATAGCGCTGACCATTTGCCAAGCCAAGACTGAGGAGAATGAAGAGAAGTAGACCTCGGTTCTCAGCACGATATGACATACTGTAGTTGCGAAAAAGCGCGAACCGTAGCGAGGCGACCCCCGCCAATCCAATTTCCGCCTAAAGCGGGTCGAAACTTACTGTACGCGCTCATATTTTTGCAAAGAAAATTGGTTAACAACGTCAGGTGAACTAGCGTAGCATCGCCATCACTTAGGAATGGACCGTGTTTGACCCAAGCGCATTTAACTTATTATTAGCCCAGCACGCCGCTTCCTCTGATCTGTAGAAGTCCCTGTCTGGATACCAGGTTTGTGGTGGTACCTGACTATTTTCCGCGAGTCTTTTAAAGATTTTTGCTTACTGTGGGAAGCAACTTAGGGCAAGAATCAGCACTAGTCTACCGTAAGTAGAAATCAGGAAACATTTACGGAAAATGACCAGCTACCTCAAATCCCCTTACGACAGACACTTATATTAGGCTGGTCAGAAAGTTCTGCAGCACCAATTTCAAAAAATCGTGGTCTTGTTATAATGTCCCTGCTTGGCATCAATTGTGTTGGAAAGAGTAGAAGGCAAGCCTGTTACAAATGTAAAAACTGCGTAGTGAAATCCAAAATCACCAGCATCTGAAGATTTCTGACCTCTTCTCTCTAACTGAGTAAACCTTGTGCTGATTGAGCTCATCTTTGAAAAGTTGTTATTTTCGACAGCAAATGCCAGAAAATCAGTCTATTAAGAAAAAGTAGAACGATCAAATGAAGCGCTGTTCCGCTTCAAGAAGGCTTAAAAAGATGGTTATTTCCACATTTTGTTCAATATCCAATAGCCAAAATTTTTTCACTTTCCTGATTTAGTAGCCCCTGGGTTTAGCGAACACATATAGTGAGCGAGAACTCGCAATCGAGATACTTTGGGACCAAGAACTTTCCAGACACCCTGTATTTTGGATATTTTCGAAATTCAAGAAGCCGCTCGGATGCTACCAGCCTGACTCTAGTGAGCATCGCGATGCACAGATGGCGGTGTTCTACATTTAGTATGATGACCTGCTAAGAAAGTGCAGTTCGTTAATAATAATATTAGGTTGTCCCATATCTTTACATATTTGAATTTTTACATTCTGCTCTTCTTAGATCTCTAACGGGATGCGGGGCAGCATTCGAAAGTCAAAGCAAGTTCTACAATGTGGCTTCCAAAAGTTCGTACCAGGCTTGATCCGCATCGTTTCAAGACAAAATAGAAAAAAATCCAAAATTCCGAAAAAACGAAAATAATCGTATCGGGAAATATTCTGCAAAGCTTCTACTTGCTCGCGCTTATCTCCCTATGAGAGAACTATACATACACTTGCTGCATTATTCTGATGGCTAGAAATAGAGAAAAAATAATGCGCTCAATTTTCAAACTTTGCCTGTAATGAGTCTATGCTCTTCACAAGTGATTATATAGCTTACTAGCCGACATTCCCGGTCCAGCCCAGGCATTGGCAACTGGCCCGGCGTAGTGATCAAAACGTCTTCGAACTCACTATTCGTCCCTCACTCTTCATTTTAATTCTCGTTCCCCTTTCCATCTTCCTTCCTGTTTCGCTCCTTTTTCCTCCTCCTTCTTCCTGTTTTTCCTCATCGCTCGTGGCACCGTAGTTGTTGTCTTCCTTCTTGATCGCCTCTCTTCGTGACCACACCGCATCGTCTTCGCCGCAAAATGTAAATGGTCTTTACCGCTCTCTTCTACTTCTTGGGGAAATGATTTGATGGTAATTGAAGAGCTTTCATTTTCTTGGATGTAAGTAAACAAATCAATAAATCGATAGAAGGATCCAGCGAGTCGTTGAGAAAAGTAGCCTATCTTCTGCGCCGTGGCTTGTTAATAGGGGAGAGAATTTCAGCCTTTTCGGTTCATATACAAAAGAGTCTATAAGCCACAAACATCCTAACAAACAAAAGTACAGTGTTTGAGTTATATACATATATATATATATATATATATATATATATATATATATATATATATATATATATATATATATATATATACCAGTGCGTCACCTCTGCTTCGCAGAGGCTCGCACTGGTCTTACTTCATATGCCTTACTCATTCTTGACTAATGGTGGCAATGAAACTCACCGGGCAGTGCCGATTATCGCGACTAAAATGTAAACAACTACCCATTCCAAATGCTATTTCATGTAAGATCGGTGATTTCGCGTGGATGAAACTTTTCGCAAAAGAACAAATACAAATTTGAATAGGTTTTAGGACTCTTTCTGGCTTGGTAACTGCCATAAGGACAGTAGGCGACGTGAGCTACATCTCTGCGCAAAATTTTTCTCAAATGCTCAGGTAAAACCATGGCAAATTGACCATTTACGCAACAATTTCTTTTTGGCGTCGTTCTCGTAAAGTAGTGAACTTTTGTCCACCTTTTTTGGACTAAAATCCATGGCCTGCACATTAGCATGCCAAACACATCCCCGACTTTGCAAAAATTGGTGATACGGAAACAATTTTGCTGGCCAGAACTCAAGTGGCTCTGTTTGACGCGCAGTTTCTGAGGGATCCGCCCAACAAAATTACTCGTGCTTTTGCATGGTAGGCTCTTATGTTGGTCGCATGCGATGTGCAAAATTTGGGCTCAGGACGTTGGCTGGAACTCGCTCTATGAATTTCGTTACAGACAGACACACAGACATACATACACACACACACACACACAAAAACACGTAAACAACCGTAGCCCGTTATTATAAGTTATGATATTCATTTAAGAATACTCCCACAAATTCACCCTTGTAGAAGCCTTAGTTTTTGAGAGATAATAGTTTGAATGTACGAATATGAAAAGACTTTTGCGACAACCGAATATATATCAGTCTCGCGATGTAAGTCTTTGAAGTGCGGGTTTGCAAAACAGGAATTTTTGCATTAGCCTGATATTTAGCCATTTCTATGTGTGGTAATATTATCATATCCTTACCAACAAATACCGAGTTCGGACTTTCTACATAAACAGTTGAGGTGCCCCAAAGGTCAACTATGTGGATTATTTACTTTAATTATCGACATAGCAATCATGGAGTACGTAAACAGCACATGCAATAGCTATACTGCACAAAGCAGTCTGATATGTTACAGTGTTTGTTACAACAGCTTCAGAAGCATAAGGCACGTCGAAGGGAGCAGCCAAGAATACGTAAACATTGTTGACGAACCGTCGTCGATCTCTTCCTAAAGCAGACATTAGGAGAGCGGGGAGTTTGCATAGTAGTGAGATAGCAGAAGTTTAATGATATCACTTCTTTTATCTAACAATAAGAGATCAAAAGCTCACATCCGTCCAAAGCAACTCAATAATCGTTTCCGAGGACATGTCGATGAAGTTACTCTTAGTGATGTACAGGGTTTTTTCTTCTTTGTTGTATTTCAAATCGCTCTCATCGATGTCTACCTAAAAATTCACGGTAACTCAAGATTATTAGAATATATTTAATTAAGCACTGCGCGATATCGACAGGCAGAAACTGATCTTGTTGATTGAAAGGAGTTCTGCGCAATATCTGCGGGTAAAAAACAGGTAGTCTATGGCAACTACTGAAAGAAGACAGCTAAAACGAAATTTTAGAGATTCTTGGAGAAGATCGCAGCGGGCGCGAAGCCTAAGCACTGAACTGTTGAAAACGGAGAACATTTAAAAAGATTACTGCACCAGCCTTTTTGCCGTTCAGCATGAAGACTGCATTGTCGGTGTCCAATGGATATCTATAATTGAAAATTTCCAGAGTATCGAGCGTAGGAATCACCAGATTGTCCTGAAAACCCATATATCCAGAAACCTATCACACTCCTAAGTACATCTGGTCCACTTACTGCTTTTCTTTCCATTTTAATTGTCAAATCTGCCCCGGATTCGTCTTGTCTGTAGCTGAAGGTCCAGTGGTAATAGGAATGTGTTGAAAATGATTTAACGATGCTATCGCCATCATCCCAATAGAGAAAACCTTGAGCTGTGTCAGGTGACTGACCTGGATACATCATAACACCTTGATTTCCAAAAATAGAAAACAATTTATGATTGCTTAGTTGCCTGTGGGTGTCCCTGGAGCAATCACTAGTTTGAACGGCTTTTTTCTTGTGTACTCCGTGGTTATATCGGGCTCCTGACATGGAATTATAGCTCCGCCTAAATGATGTTGAGAAGCACACAAGCGTCAGGAGCAGGTCGAGGGGGGGGGGGGGGGGCGGGACGCATTTAGTGCAAAAAAATTACTCCTAAAATTCGACCATATCTGTCTTTTCCATTATGCTTAACCTTCTGACACAAGTCCGCTTGGATAGGTCCGTCCCATAAATTCTTCAGACGAAACCGTCGTACAAGTTCTTTTTTCTATCATAATTACCCTAAAATCTCGTCAACTAAGTCTGGCAAAGCGGTTCTATCTGTACCAGAGTAATCTTCAGACAGGTTTATTTGCAAGCAAGCCCTACATGCCGGATTCTGGGGTAGAGATTTTTGAAAGTGATTTATTTGAGTTATAAAAATATGTTAGTTTGTTTAGTTGCAACTACTGAAAAATCGCAAATTTTACGAATAAGAAGTTCTTCTAGGTATATTCCACAAATCCACGCAGCCAAAAATCTTCAAAAAGACATTGTCGTGCCTCCCCCCCCCCCTTTCCCTCCATCTTCTTTCAAGAGCACGACTCTGATCACTGCTCTCACCTCTGACAAGAACTGGAATCAATAAATCCCAAGGAGCGGGGAATACTTGATCACCATCCCATATTAGTTGTCCGTATTTGTGATCAGACACGGAGTACCAGTCATCTTTAGGTAGGTAGAACTGCACATTTTTGGCTCCCTATAGAAGCATCTTTTACTAGCATCAAAATTTTAAAAAAATCATTACCTTGTGCACTACTGGAGCGATAAGCATAGAGCTACCCCAGAGGAACTGATAGCTGAGGTCGTGTGTTCTATTATCAGCTGGGAATTCGTAGAAAACAGGACGAATAACGGTCCCTCCGTACATCGAGGCTTCAAAGTGCAAACTGAAAGGCAAAAACGTTCTGCTAATCTACCTTCCCATAATACCTATGCTCTACCTAAAGAGGTAAGGTAGGTAGCTGTAGCGGAACAGCGTGGCTTTTCTGGTTGCGTTTGCTACGGATTTCCACTGTGCTGGGTCTTGCGGTGGCATTGTTCGAGAATTGTGATTCCTAAAGCAGAAATGTAATGACTGCATCCATATTCGGCTCTCTGGCTGGCAAAATTAAAGGCTACCTCATAAATGTGTGGAACGCTCCCAACTGATGCCATCTAAGACATAACTCTTCTTCTGTTTCACGATTGAAACCGCAGATATCGGAACCAATGTATCTATAATTATAGCTTTGTTCCTGTGTTCCTGTGATATCTGATCCATACACTCATATGACAACAACCCTTTCCGTAGATAAATTCGCAAAACTTGATTTCCAACTTGAAAACCATTTAGTTGTGAAAGGCTAATAGGGCTTGCTGTGTATGGCTCGGAAGTTCTTGAGAACTTCTTTCAATGGCTTGTAAGAAGTTAGCGAAGCAGAATCTTACAGCACGAAAAAAGCATTGGAAAATAAGGTTTTGATATCATAGCGGAGCCCCTGACCAAGTATTCATAAGAAGTTCTACTGCAAAAGATGGATTCCGAAGCGAGAAAGTTGCTCTAGGCCAAGATGGCCCTTTCATCAACATGGGCGGCACAAAGCTAATGAGTTCGAGAGTGGGCTTCAGAATAGCAATGTCGCTATCTATTAATCGTATAGGGGGATTTATGACAATTCTAGATCAAGGACAACTGGAACTTTTATCTTCAGACCACCCAGTCAATGGGTGGTGTCCTTGGCCTTCCGTCCTGAGCGGATTTTCTCGCTTAAGAACTAATCATTTACAGGAGAACTTAGGCGAGTACTCATTGGTACTACTATGCTGCATCAAAAGCTCACCATCCACAATTTGGGGCACAGTGGCTTTCATGAGCTTTCGAGACATATACAAAACACCCTACCTTCCTGCAGAATCGTAATAATTGCACTTTCTGAAGCCAAAAAACAATTTTCATTGAAAATGGGCTTATGCAAGACATTTTGCAAGACTAAATGTGCACGTTAGAATTTTTGAATTTGATGTATACTCCGAGACAATGCGGGAACGAGTTTTGTTTGCCATCCTTTGAGGCGGTCAAACTTCCGAATTTTACCAGTTTGAGCCCCCTTGAAAGCTAAAACGAGATATCAACCTTAAGGCGAGGAGACCGCTCTAACAATAGAGAACGAGGACCATTTCCTCCAGCCCCGCCCACTTTTGATGTCCTCTCAGCACCAGAGCGAGCATATACGTTATATAAGGGTTCTACAACGACTCTACTTTTTGTCCTTGAGTCTAGGCGAGTCTTGCGTCCTCGTCTATGTTAAATCTGCAGGAACTAGGAGGAACTCAGGAAGCAATTATTATTCATTCAGGGTTGCCGGTAGAAGGAATCAAAGGGCTGTCAATTCGCAGAGCTCGTGGCAAAAACATACGGTATTCCGAAGAGGTTGAATTCTTGAGCTCCAATAACAGCGGATTGAAGATCTTCCCACGTTGCTGAATTGTCACCAAGCCAGTGACCGCAGAAGCGACCGCTGGATGCGAAAGTAGACCTGGGAAGTTCGAACGTTAATCGATTTGATTTGACTTATTCTTAAAGGCAGCGTCCAGGCAGATCTGGATCTCTGGGGAAAGTACTTTTGGGGCCCCTACTAAAGCTGTCCAAGCGCCAGCGCAGGTAGTGCTCTAACGGCTGAGATATTCCCCTCGAAACTGGACCCCGCGATTGTATTCGCATGGATTCATGGCAGTTTCGCGCCAGGATCCACGTGGCAGTTTCGCGCCAGGATCCACGCTTTGCGCCATGAATCCATGCGAAATACGATCGCGGGGTCCAGTTTCGAGGGGAATATCTCAGCCGTTAGAGCACTACCTGAGCTGCCGGTTGGGCAGTGGCTTACAAGGGAAGGATACATGGTCGAAGTGGCATTTCATCTTGAAATGTATACTGTCTTATAGAGCTTAGGACGCTGATTCCGAATCTGTCTTCGCTATCTGCCGAGCGCCTCTGGACGCCGAGTTATGAGCGTTCTTTGGGTTAAAAAATTGAATGCGTAATTAGGGCAAAATTCGTCAGAATTGCTCAAATGGTCCAATGTTGGTTACCAGAGCACCCCATTTCAAAGGATACCTTTTGCCCAAAACACTCATACAACATGTTGCTCTATTTAGGCGCTGAAAAGTCCGTAATAGTCAATTTTACTTGAATTCTGCGTTCATTTTTCGCTCCAAAAAACATTTATAACTCGGCGTCCAGAGGCGCTCGGCAGATAACGAAGAAAGATTCGGAATCAGCGTTTAACGCTCTTCAAAATAGTATATGACCCATTTGAAAAGGCCACTTCGACTGATCCGACCTCCCTTGTTAGTTACGGCCCCTACTTTCCACGTAAAAAGCCCATAGGTCCAGGTGTCTGGGACGCTGCCTTTAATTCAAGCGCAATACAACATGAATGTAGGTTGAGTTTTACCTTGATATGACGATGCCCCTCTTTCCTACAGCCTTAAACTGCCCCTGCTGTGTAACTTTCGATTCGCTCCATCCATAAAGGCTCTTCACATCGTAGTGGCGCATAGTGCCATCGCCTTGCACAGCAGACATACATAATGTCTTTGTTGCCAAGTAGGATTGCGCATTATCCTAAACAAAATCATTTTAAGTTTTTTTGGTGAGGTAAAACAAAAGAGCTGGTTACCGACCTCTCTAAATACCCACACATTGTGCGTTTTATATGGTGGCATGTCCCATCGTGCATCTTCAGTGCCCTCTTCCATTGGGCATTTCAGAGGCTCAATATTTGGATGGTCAGGATCATCAAAGTACCACGGATGGTATTCGTTTGTCCCGAAGTTTGCCGGCTCATTCATATCAATCCAGATGCCATCATAAGCAATCTTTAATGCAGTGCATCACAAGGTTTAGGTGAACACTAATGCGGAAAATTTATGAATGTTTCTTGTGACCTCGAAGGTTAACAAAGTTGAAGTTGGAAATTTCTAAGCCACTCCAAGTAAGCAGAGATGAGTGAAGAGAACTTTTTGATTCACTTTGCTATGTAGAAATTTTCGGTTATTGTCCTCTATCTTGACCTTATTTACTGACAACGAATGCTCATCTGCCCATAAATGTCTCAAACCAGTTTTAATTTTTTTTGTACTGTTGACTTTGAGAATAATAGCGGAAAGAGTGAAGCTGACTTCTTGTCTGAATCTGACTAATTCGTCAATCCACCACTTGGCAGTATTGCCGCTCGGGTCAAGAAAATCTGGGAATGCCGTGTGATTGTCTGGCCACACCACACCCAACATGATCTTGGTTCCTTTTACCAGCGGATACAAGTTCTGAAAAAAACTGGGATTTGGCTGATCACCAATGATGTTAACTAATCCTACGTTGGTTGAGTTTTTCACTTGGTCGAAACGTTCCCACTCAACGAATCGAGCTTTCTAAAAGCATGGGACTTGATATGAAACGTTCATTGGAGTGGATGTTGAACGCTTACTGCTGTCATTGCTCTTTCAAATGGTTCATAATTTGCCTGAATTGCCGGATCGAACATCAACACCACACGCATTCCACGATTGTGGAGTTGCTTGACGTATGCAGGGAACTCTTGCCAGCTCTAAAGATTTTCAAAACTGGAAGTATCGCATTTCATGCACGAACCTCTCCAATTGAAAAGTCCTTGTATCTGTCCATGTAATCGATATCTCCCACAACTGTATCGAAAGGTATTCCAGCTTCGATGTTGTTTTCAACTATGCGTTTCATCTCAGCGAAATCTTTGTAGCCCCATCGAGAAATCTGCAAAAAGAATAGCTGGTCATCAAACATGCAAAACAAGCAAACGCTACCTGGAAGCCAAAGCCCCAGTAAGCTGGCAAGGTTGGGGTTCCTATCAACGCCAAGTACTGTTGTGTCACTTCCTCAGGGGTAGGACCTGGGAAGAAGTACATGTCCAAATTTCCGCCGATTGTGCGGTAGATCAATGTAGGTCCAGGAGCTGTGGTAATTTCCTGAATTTTGTCAAAAAACGTATGTGTGCAGCACCGTCAAGTCAGCGAGCCAATCATTCTTTTTCTCAACCCAATTCTTTGTGATCGAAAATTTTGAGCAGTATAGTCTCTCAACTAGTGGCTGTTCTGTTATCAATGTGAATCTTGTATTAGGTTGATGCATAATTCTTGCACCAAATTCTTTGAAAATCTGTTACTTCAAAGAGCTTCAATGAAATCTTCTGATTTAAAACATAATGTGAAGAGAGAGAGAGAGAGAATCTTGCACTTTTTGAGGGAGTTCGAGTCAAAATTCCTCAAGGGCATATGGCAAAGATTTAAAGTGATTTAGAGAAGTACCCAACTCAGACAACTGCATCGGGAAGTTCGCGGGTGTTTGCTCGGCCACCAATCATCCATGCCGCGAGCCGCCCAGTATAAACCGATATTGGACCCGATAAGTGACCGCGGCGCATCCTGTAAGCGCCCGATAGTTGACCCGATTAGCATGCTTGTGAGGCCTAGGAAGAGTGAAAAACCTTTTGGCCTGTCTTTCATGACAATGACTTGAGTGCAAATTGAGCAACTTGTTAGCTCATCCGTCGACATCATTTAATGTCGTCAATAACACTCATCCGACTGCTGAAGTTTGTTTCGTAAGCATTAAAGCTTAACTGTCAGACAGGACCAATCCCGAGAAGCGATTACCCATCCCCACAAACACTTAGGGTAGCCCCATTCACTGCGGCGTACCACACGCGAGTTACGCCTTAACCTACAGCGTGTAAGATGTCGGGCCTTTGATAAGACCCGCGGCCCGCCGAGTGAGGTGATTGGGCCGCGGCTCTCCCGATAATCTCTTCCCAATTTCAACTTTGGCCGCGGCGTTCCCGGTAAAATTTACATGGGCCGCGGCGTGCGCGGCTGAAATTTTAGGGGCTGCGGCGCGCCATATAACGCGCTTTAAGGCCGCGAACTTTCCGATGCAGTTGTCTGGGCAAGAAGTAATTTTCCGATTTTTGATCACTAAATTTGATAAGACGTCTTCTAAATTCCGAATTTATTTTTGATCTTTCACGTCATACTCTTTCCAACAAAGAGAAGCCGGTAGTGAATGGATGGATAATGGATGTCTCTGCGAATAGTTACTGATTTTGATGTTTCAAGTTGACCTTGATTTTGTTTCATATTGATTTTCTAAAATGTACTATAGAATGCTACCTTTGATAAACATAAAATGAGTATTTTGAATCAATTTTTTCTGTTCTTTGGTGCAAGAATTGTGAACAACCTGATACTATCATAAGCTTTCGTTCCCATTCTTATTTTGGTCTTCCTACTGACAAGACGTGAACTTCTTATACCTGCGCATTACTGTTCGATATGAATACACCGTGTGCTTTTCCATCTTTTTCTATCATCATATAAAACGGATGCATACCTAAAAATGAAATTTTGAATTGTACTCATAGTAATCTACGAAAATGTACCATAAAGATTTTTAGTGGTAACTTGTTCTGAGTAAGGCCACTCGTCTCGAGCAAACATAGCCCAAGTTGTGTAACGATCGAATTGGTGCTAAATCTTGTTCATTTTGAGAATTGTGTAACTTTTAGTCACAAACTACTACCTTCAACGTTGGATGGCTATTCTCTCCCCACCCATACATTGCTTCCGATGGCAGCTTCGTAGCGATTTGTATGAACTGATCCGAGAAGATCAGACCACCTTGAGACAAATTTTCAAGAATTTGAAAAGCTACTTGTAATATTTAGTAGAATAAGGATACCCATAGAGGTGTTGAACAAAACTTCTTTCGTAGACTTGCGAACCACAGTAAAATAGAAGTAGTCTAACTCCTCATTTGTATGTTTTTCCAGCTGCAACACTGCCAGTAACGATTGAAGTAATCAAACAGCAATGGAAATAATTATTTTTGCAAAATCGCTTTTCCTAGTTTTCAAATTTTGTACATTGGGAAAGACAATGTATAAAATTTGAAAGTGGGACTTTTTTTATTTCACAGAGGTTTTGTAAGGCAAAGGATGCAACGTACCGTCAATGTATCCTCTGATTTGGACGGATTGCGAGGGAGATCGAGAGGTGGTTCATAGCTGGAAATTCCCTTTTCACAAAGATAAAATACTACAAATTTTTGATACATCGTTATAGAAGCGCTGAACTGCGGCGCAACTCAGCCTGAATGTCAGTCTAAGAAAGTATGGAGGTATCGCCCGCAGATGTCGGACTCATATATGCTTAGGCCAGGCTACGCATTATACGGCTAATGCCATTCGTGCATAGAAATTCCTATAAGAACCCATCTATCCAAAAGCCCTTTGGAACATGGACCGCGACAATCTTCACTCCGTATATATTGGGCTGCTGCATAGGTTCTGTCGATTTTTTTTTGCCTTATGTTTGCAGCAGCTGTTCTAAGAGGATTTCATCTCTGATGCATTGCTGATAGTATCATTAGAAAGTGCGTTTCTTGGTCTTTCTAGCGCATATCAAATTTCAATAAATTCCTTAGTGTATGGAGATTTCAGACCTAAAATTTCCAAATGGCCGAGGTACGTTCTTACCCAAGAAATATGTTCTTGCGGAGAAAATCTTCACAATGGGCCCCTCAAGTTAAGTTCTTCCATTGGTTGCGGAATAAAGGTGTAGAAAGCTAGATATGCTGAAGCTCAGTTCCATGAAGAAAACGTCTTGCTAGTAAAATTTATTGTCGAACATTATTTTTTTGTATACATGTTTTACAAGCAACAACTTGCAAATAGAAGTAATCGATGAGTTCAAAGTTGGAGGTGCTAGAATAAAGCAAGAGCCAGAAGGGCTCGTCCACCATTTCCTTTTCGGCGATCACTTCAATTGTGAAATTTTCGTAATACGTAAAAAGGCATGCAAACATGTGCTGAAGCAACGTCAAAAAGTGGCTTCTTTTTTGTTCGGTCAAAAAATCTCTCGGCAACGTAGACCCTATGGGCTCTTTTTTGTTGCAAAATAATCTACGAAAATTTGCCTATCCATCCATTATTAGGTAAGATGCTTATCAATCTCATAAGGGAACATTGCCATGTCAAAAAAGACAAGTTTGAAGAAAAACGCTGTGAAGTTTTTTAGTTCTTGCTTCTTCCCTAACAAGGATTTTCGTAAGTTTCAATATGTGTCTGATAGCCAAGGAACTTCATAGACATATACATTCGGCACAAAAATGAACCCCTCAGTCAAAAAATCAACCGTAGAGCACTGTTCGATAAAACAAAGCAAGCTTTGGCAAATGACCGTCGGAGATCGTCTGAATCATGTAGAATTCAGAGCCAAAATCAAAAGAATTTCATCACCCAAAAGATTTTTGCCGTAAAAAAATCCTCTAAAATCTCAAATTGCTCGCTGTACAGTAGTTACACAGTAGTGCATATAGCATATATATACACTCGCTGAATTTTCTATAGCAAGCCTAAGTTAGTAAACCTAGAGTCGAGAATTACTAACAAAAAGATTAACACAAAACAACCGAAAAATGGTATTTTGCATTTCTCTGATTTTTTTTTCGAATTTGAGCCGCAGAAAAAGTCCAGCAGTTTTTGCAAAACAATGCGTCTAGTGTATGATATTTCTTACCGTCCATCCACTCCAATTTTCACATTCAAGGTTTTTCCCATGTATTTTGATGTGAGGGTGATTTGCTCTATGTCATGTCCCCAAGGATTTTTCGGTCCATCGTTCTTCTCTAACAAGGTTTTCTGGAATCAATGAGTAAAGCTGGAAGCGACAGATTCCTTACAGTTCTACCTCCCCAGTCGACGAAACAATCCTATAACCCACTCCTTCTTTCATATAACAATACGGAATTCCGGGCTAAAATTATTGTAGATGACTTCTTTATAGCCCTTACACATGAGCGAAGAACTTACATAAGCGGAACTTCCTCTCCATATACAACCTCTTTCTTCGCATAGTTCTTTGTTCGGAAATGGTTCAGGATAACAATTTATTCGAGCGACTCCCCCTACCCTCTGGAAAAGAAAATCCGAGGTTACAAGTAAGTCTCAGGAACCTTTTGGCCGTACCGACGTCCAAATACGAAGGCTGAGCTAGCGCAAAAATCATTTCTTTCTCTTTTAAGCTCTATGCACTTACAAAATCTAGTTATTAAGGCTTAAGGAGAAACCAAATGTGGGGCTTGGCACAAATCGTCTTTTGTTTTCAAAAAAGAAGTCCTAATTGACTTATAAAGGCTTTACGAATTCACTTTACAATACTTTACTCCCATTAAAATATAGATTAGATTCATATCGGGCCAAAGAAAATAGTTCGATGACTTACCTCATTCCTCCAAGTCAATGTTGCTGTTGAAAGCGTCAAATTGATGAAATTCCTCTTAGAAATGTACAGAATTTTCGTGCTTTCATCGTAGTGGGAAACAGCTTTGTTAATGCGGATCTGAAAATTTGCTGCCTAAAAAATGTGATGCTCGATAACAATTGAAAATCCTTCGAGTACACGGAAAATTTAAACATATAGGCAGGAACAAACACCAGGGAGAACACTGATCAGCTTAGAAGGGAAGGCACTTTAGTTCGCCATTGGGAAAGGGACATGTAGGCTGGAAAAGCTTGCGCACATATTTCGTTTGGGTCCCTCGTTGACAAAAGATTCGATCTGATGCTGCTTCGATATTCCAGCACCTTCTTCGGCAGGTATACAATGACCGCCATAAAGTTGCGTACAAGCCGCCTTCCTTTTTTCATTGCTCATTTTTGGAAGGAAAACAAAAATCAAAACATGATTGGGTTTCATGAGATGATAGAGCTCTTCAATAGCTACAATGCACACATCGCGCTTTCTGGAAAATTTTGTATTCTAAAAATTCGAAAAATCTTTTTCTAAAAAGAGTTCGAAAATGGTCGCATCACAATGTCGCGGACAATAATTCTTCGAACGCGAAGGTTTTCCTTCAGGTCTTTGTTTGGAGCAAAAACAGAAGTTTTCCTGGCAGATAAGCGTACTTTGTTATAGAGCTCATCGAGGACAATAACAGGTAATGATTACTATTAAAAACCCAAGCTTGAATTTTATTTTGCTTTCCTTTCAAAAAGTAATTGCTAATTATCGTTTTCAAGCCAAATTTCTTCATATAGGAACCTATTAAAAACATCTCAACAAAGCTGTTCAAATAAAATGGATGCTCTTTGACATACTCTATGCACCGAACGTGTGCTGGTGAGTTTCTTGGCTGAAAATGGCCCTTGACAATGCGTGCACATGACCCCAGCTGCACCTCACCACTGACTTGCACCGCTTTGCAGGCTTGTAGCTCGGCCGGCAGCCACTCTACGATCCTGGTCCTAGGCCCGTATGCACGTACATCCCCGCTGGGGAGAGAAGGGGATCTGAGAGGGGAGGCGTCATATCTCGCTACTCTAGCTATCTTTCTTCTTCCTTTTTCATCTTTCTTATGAAGGCTCTCATACCCTTATACCTGCGCATAATGGATGCCAGGCTACTAGCGCGATTGATTAGATTTTCACCCTTTTGTATGATCCCTTGGAGATCCACAGGGAATTACCTCTCAATTTCAATGTCATTTATCTTCCTGAAAACTCAACGAAAACGCTGTAAAATTGTACTGTGGATATACTACGGCATTGCTAAAGATGGTTATAGTAGAAATAAGTGAAATCTCGGGATATCGAAATCCTCGGTAATCCCTAGCTCGCGAGCTAGGAATTATCGGAAAATTCACTATCTTCGATTCCATTTCTCCAGTCGAAAACATGCTTGGCAGTGCTGTAATATATCCAAAGTATAATTTTGCAGCGTTCTCATTGACTTTTCAGGAAGCTAAATCACTTTGAAAATGAGAGGTGATCCTCAGGGGATCACACAAAATGGCAAAAACCAGTCCTATATGGAAGTAACCTGGCCCCCACTATGCGCAGGTATAAGTGTATGAGAACTTTCATAAGCAAGATAGAGAAAGAAGAGGAAAGATACGTAGAGTAGCGAGATATGACGCATCACCTCTCAGATCCCTTCCCCTCCCCAGCGGGGATGTACGTGCATACGGGCCTTAGGCTCATTCGAAAGAGCGTGACATTCCTGACACATGATATGCAAATGAGTTGAGTTTGAGAAATCCTGGAGATTTTACGGATGGGACAAAAAGCGCAGCTTTAGTGATGGGCTAAAGATTTTTCAGCTAAAGTGGAACAGGGCTCCTTTCACTACCAGTTCCATTCTAGAAGTTTGAAACTGTCAATTTTCTTGTAATAGATCCATTTTGAAGCTCTAAGACTGTTCTGATGTTGATAAGAGATTTCACTCCAATCACCTGTGAGGCTGCGCTGTTTCACCCCATTCGGAAAATCTCCGGTACTTCCCAGAATTAAATCATTTACATACCATCGCGTCGAGGACATCACGCTCTTTCGAATGAACCTACACGCAGGCTCGTAAAATGACTGCTGGCCGAGATACAAGCCTGCAAATTCGGTGCAAGTCAGTGGTGAGGTGCAGGTGGGGTCTGTGCACGCACTGTCGAGAGCCATTTTCAGCAAAAAAAAAACTCGCCAGCACACGTCCGATCATAGAGGATGGCAAAGAGCACCCATTTTATTCGAACAGCTCTGTTGGGATGTTTTGAAGGTTTATGTGAAGAAATTTGGCTTGAAAACGGTAATTAGCAGTTACTTTCCGAAAAAAAGCAAAATAAAATTCAAGCTTGGGTTGTTTTTTAGAAATAACCACTACCAGATTATTGTCCTCGATGAGCTCTACGATATAGTATGCTTATCTGTCAGGAAAACTTCTATTTTTGCTCCATACAAAGACCTGAAGGAAAATTTTCGCGTTCGGAGAATTGTTGTCCGCGACATTATGACGCGGTCATTTTCGGACTTTTTCTAGAGAAAGATTTTTCAAATTTTTAGAATACAAATTTTGCAGAAAGCGCGATCTGTGCCTTGTAGCTATTGAAGAGCTCTATCTTCTCATGCAATCCATTCATTTTTTATCGTCGTTTTCCATCCGAAAATGAGCGATAAAAGAAGGAAGGCGGCTTGTCCGCAACTTTTTGGCGGTCACTGTATAACGGGTCTCCCCCTTTAAGTAGCAAGCAGATTTCGCACAAAAAGCTCATAACCCGCATCAGGATGTTGCGCCGCAGCTAGAAACAACATATCTGGGACCAGCCTAAGCTGATTCAAATATATGTCCAAAAAGCCGATCTAAGTTAGGTTGTCTTCCCTTATTGGCGTTCACGTCCATTTTATCCATTGGACACTAATCTGGGTCTTAGTCATAGTATTTCTACCGGCAAAAATGAAACGCTGTTTTTTCAGATAGAGTTAGCCTAGAACACATGAAGTTGGATTATGGACCATACATTTTTTAACAAGGTCGCACACAATACTTTATGTATGGAGCGTTAACTGATTTGGCTCGTAACACTGGCAGTGCAGTTTCCTTTGAAAAATAATGGGAGCATTTTCTATCAGCCGCAGGATATCTTATCTATGTTGTAATTCAATATAAGATCTATAAGTGAATCTGCCGACTTTCCTACGTACTAGCATCAAAATCCGCCGCACATAGTAAGTAAAGTGATATCTGACATCGCTTCCATGAAATTCTCGAGCTGCTTTTGATAGATTTATAAATACTGAGGGCTGCAAAATGAGCTAAAAAACACCTTTTCTCCATTCAATTCAAAGCTGTCAAAGTCGGGATAACTTCCGTATCCAAATATTTCCAGCGTATCAAGTGTAGGAATCTCCAGGCCATTCTAAACATGTAAGAATGGAACTGAAAACTGATCATTTGCCTTTTCAAACTTACTGCCTCTCTCTCCCTCGTGATAATTAGTCTTCCAAACTTCTCACCGCTACCATATATGAATGACCAGTGGTAGTAAGGATGATTTTCGAATGACTCAACAATGCTTTCACCATCGTCCCAGTATAGGAAGCCAGAGGCGTGACCGAATTCTATGAGTCAAATTTTGGGATCATTTACTTCAATTTAGAGATTTTTGCCGATTTCCAAATAGTTTCATTCATCATTTTTTCCAAATCAAATATTGTGAAGGCGAACGTTAATCAAGTTTTTTTCGTTTTTTTTGCTTTTTCAGAGAAGAAACATTTTCAAAAAATTTGTGACAATTCACCTACCATTACCGTACGAAGGAGCTATCAACAACTCAAAAGCGTTTTTGCGCGTATAATCTGTCGTGATGTCTGGCTTTTGGCGAGGCAATATCGAACCAGCTATAAAAATACGTATGAAAATTTTAATATATCAATATAGATCTAGTTCGATCTGCCACCTCGAACCAAAACTGGAATAAGAGATTCCCATGGAGCAGGGAAAGTTCGGTTGCCCCCTTCAATAAGTTGGCCATAATTATGGTCAAATAGCGAATACCATTCGGTCGCTTCTGGCAAATATGCCTTGACACTCGTTGCACCCTGCACAAATAAGTGCGCATTTTTTTCTAGTGAGGTTGGATCTTGAGCTAACTTTATGCACAACAGGCGCTATTAGCAAAGAGCGACCCCAAAGGAATTGGTAGCTCAGATCGTGAGTTCTGCTGTCTGTGGGGAATTCATAGAAAACTGGCCGAATGACGGTTCCGCCATTCATTGAGGCTTCAAAGTGCAAACTGAAATCAGACCATATTCAAAGTGGTTAAGCTTGTTCAGCTCAGGGCTACCTGAAGAGGTAGGGTAGGTAGCTATAACGGAATAGAGTCGCTTTCCTAGTTGCGTTTGCCACAGTCTTCCATTGTGCCGGGTCTTGCGGTGGCAGAGTTCGAGAATTGTGGTTTCTAAAGCACAATGGAACATTTCCATGATTTGATTTCAGGTTTAAAACATGAGCGACCTCATAAATGTATGGAATGCTCCCAGTTGATGCCATCTGAGACATAGTTCTTCCTCAGTTTCACGGTTGAAGCCACAGATATCAGAGCCGATATATCTAAAAAGATCTTTATGTGCTTCCATTTTTCATTTTTATGGCCTATCGAGGCCGAATACTTTGACATACGGTATACCGAAAAGATTGAATTCCTGAGCTCCAATCACTGCGGAACGAAGATCGGCCCATGTTGCCGAGTTGTCACCAAGCCAATGACCACAATAACGTCCACTAGAGGCAAACGTAGATCTAAAAGGCTCAATTAGTTCACATATATTATGGCCAAAAACTATTTTGTTCAAATGTAAGTCATATCATGCCTGGATATTACAATTCCTCTCTTGTTAGTCGCCTTGTATTGTCCTTGCTGGGTTATTTTTGACTCACTCCAGCCATAAAGGCTCTTTACGTCATAATGACGGAAAGCCCCGTTAGCTTGTACAGCTGACATACACAGAGTATTCGTCGCCAAATATGGTTTCGCCTCCTAAAAATTTCTTATTATTATGCTATAGCTGCACAGGCAATCCTACCTTTCCGAACACCCACACGTTGTGCGTTTTATACGGCGGCATGTCCCAGCGCGCATCTTGGGAGCCTTCCTCCGTTGGACACCTCAGAGGCTCAATATTTGGATGATCAGGATCATCAAAGTACCATGGATGTTCGATATTCGTCCCGAAGTTTGCCGGTTCATTCATATCGATCCAGATGCCATCATATGCGATCTTTAAGAAAGTATTAGGTTGTTGCAAAAATAATGTCCGTTTTGCAAATTTTCACTTTGGAGGGCTATAGCTTCGTTCAGTATTCATATTTTGGAATGCAGTCAAAACCATCAGAAACAGCAAACCTTTCTTAATTTAGCGCGCGCCTGCTCATACTGATATCGCAGTTGGGAAGAAAACCACGCGTCAAAAAGTTAAAAGGTTTTCTCTCAAAAACCTCTTCTTTGAGAGCTTACAACTCCCTTCAAGTATTGTTCGTATGGCTGGCAATCAGCTTATTTTGTAGCAGCAGATCAAGAGTTTATGAGGGTATAGAGAAGACTCCGACGATAGAGTTCTGCGAAAACAAAAGACAAAAATTCAAAAAAGTTCACTTTTCTAAGCCTACTTGTTGTAGGCTTATAAGTGTCAAATTGGAAAAATTTGAAATTCTTCGCGCAGTGAATAGCTGAGTTTCTCTTCAAATATTGTAACTGAGGTGTGCTTATCTCAAGTTTACAGAAATGAGCGAAGCTTTGGCGATTGCCTAGTTATGAGAAATTTCTGATCCATAGAATGCCAGCAGTAAGTATCTCTTTCGAGACGTCCGTTTCTCAGTCCAGATATCTCCAAAAATCCATATAAGCACGCTGTAGGTGAACAACCTTCATCCAATAGAAGTGCTATGTTTTCAGAAGAATTCGTTCATTTGCGCTTGAATTGTGGCCACGGAAACTCAAGCATCGAAATTTCAATTTTGAGTGCACTTATGCGAGATGCTGATGAAATTCTCACAGATGAGGATAGCAGCCTATTTCCACCATCGTTAGAAAATACATGGAGAGGGCTTATCAATGATATGCAAATTCTATATCGAAAAAGGAAGTTTGATGGAAAAAAAGTTGTTTGAAATATACGCCTAGAAAAACGGACATTATTTTTGCAACAACCTAATATAATATTTGTTTGAAAGTTTGTAAGATAATGTGCTGTGGTGCTAGTCAAAGCTGACTAATGAATTAATATTATATATTCGTTCCATGTTTACAGAATTCTATTTTATTTTAGCGAAGCAATTGTGCGTGGAATAGCTCATAGCATTAGGTTTAAAGACAGTGTCTCGTCAGATAAGGTAGATTGGGCCTTCACAAATTTTTGGCGACCATCTGTCAAGAAATTTTTCGAGGCGATTCGACCCCTGATTAGAAAAATCCGTATGGAATTAGGCAGGGTCTGTAAAACTTATTCCGCGTCCTAAGAACCATGAACGGATGTCCTACATGACTGCACTTCTTGGCATTTGCAAAGCTTACTTGTTGCTGGAATCTTGTTAGTTCGTCAATCCACCACTTGGCAGTATTACCGCTTGGATCGAGAAAATCGGGGAAAGCAGTGTGGTTATCCGGCCACACAACGCCCAACATAATTTTCGTTCCTTTTACCAGAGGATACAAGCTCTAAAGTTTGCTGAACTTTTCGACAGTCTACTCTATGATCTTCTTACATTCGTCGAGTTTATCACTTGGTCGGGACGTTCCCACTCAACGAATTTTGCTTTCTGCAAATATCTTCTTTGACTTGAGGTCAAAAAAGATGCTCGAAAGAAACTCACTGCAGCCATTGCTCTTTCAAACGGTTCGTAATTGGCTTGGATTGCCGGATCGAACATCAGCACTGCTCGCATCCCACGACGATGCAGTTGGTCAACGTAAGCAGGGAACTCTTGCCAGCTCTGTAAACTTCCAAAATGGATTCATGATTTCCATTGTTCAGGCAAACCTCTCCAATCGAGAAATCTTTGTATCTGTCCATGTAATCGATATCTCCCACAACTGTATCGAAAGGTACACCAGCTTTAATGTTGCTTTCAACGATGCCCTTCATCTCAGCGAAATTTTTATAGCCCCATCGAGAGATCTGCGTAAAGAAATTGTAGTTGGCTACCAAAGCGAAACAAACGAAAGCTACCTGGAAGCCAAAGCCCCAGTAGGCTGGCAAGGTTGGGGTTCCTATTAACGCTAAGTACTGCTGGGTTACTTCCTCTGGGGTAGGACCGGGGAAGAAGTACATGTCCAGATTGCCGCCGATTGTGCGGTAAATTAGCGTGGGTCCAGGAGCTGTGGTAATTTCCTAAAATTATGAAGGAAGCCACTCTGGTTACCGCTAACGCATTTTCTTTTGATTGTATGACCTTCATCAAGTTTCAGAAGTACACTGTTCTCAAGTTGAAAGTGAGTACTATTGCAGCGCTAACTACTCTCAATTTTCCCCATTGGTACGATATGAACTACTTACCTGCGCATTACTGTTCAATATGAACACTCCGTGTGCTTTTCCATCTTTTTCCAACATCATATAGAATGGGTGCATCCCTGAAAGAATCAAACGCTTTTTTAAGTGCAGTTACAGTAAAGCTTGAAGGCTTACCGTAGAGATTTTTAGTTGAGAGTGTTTCTGAGTAAGGCCATTCGTCTCGCGCAAACATTGCCCAAGTAGTGTAACGATCAAATCTGTGCTAAATGCGTCTATATGGAATGAAGTGTCTTTTCTTCTTGTATATTAGGTTGTCCCAAAAGTTCTTGCGCCGGATTTTCAAAAAATCATAACTTCCTTGCCACTCCATGGATTTTCTTGATTTTATTTTTGTTTGAAAGAGGGAACCTTTCTCTTTACAACTGCACCTTTGCTGTGAAGTGTTGTTGAATAGTTCCAAAGGCTAGAAGCAATTGAATGAAATCATTCAAGATCGGCATTTTTCAAGCTGGATCACGAAAAATTCTGAAAGTATTTTTATTTGATAGAGAAAATTTTGCACATTACAGTGGTACCTTTTTCGTGATAACGAAGTAGATCGAGAGTTAGAAGCAAATAAAGAGAATTTCTTCATTTTTGCAATTTTTGTGCATGCTCAAAAAAGCTTGAAAACGTCATAGAAAAGCGAAAAAGTCATAAGCATGGGTTTTGTGACCTTCCCTTTCTAGCTGAGCAAAAATCGTGCCAATTGGGAGCCAATTTGATTTTCGTGATTTTCGGGTCTGCATTTTCACGAAAATGAAAATTGCTCCCGATTAGCACAATTTTTGCTCAGCTAAAAAGAAAAGGTCACAAAACCCATGTATATAACTTTTTCGCCTTTTTTGTGACGTTTTCAAGCTTTTTTGAGCATGCTCAAACATTGCAAAAGTAAAGAAATTCTCTTTATTTGCTTCTAACTCTCGATCTACTTCGTTTTGATTCACGAAAAAGGTACCAGTGTAATGTGCAAAATTTTCTCTATCAAATAGAAATATTTCCGGAATTTTTCGTGATCCAGCTTGAAAAATGTCGATCTTGACTAATTTCCTGCAATTGCTTTTGACTCTCGAACTTACTAACGCTAATTCATGGCAAAGGCACCGCTATAAAGAAAAAGGTTTCCTCTTTTATAGAAAAATAATTTTGAGAAAAATCATTGAGAAGAAATGAAGTTGTGATTTTTTGAATATCCGGCGCAAGAACTTTTAGGACAACCTAATATTACTAGCCTTCAACGTCGGATGACTGTTCTCTCCCCATCCGTACATTGCTTCCGATGGTAGCCTCGTAGTGATTTGTATAAACTGATCCGAGAAAATTAGACCACCTAAAATATGGTGTTGCATTTTGCTGATTCTTTTGTTTTAGCGAGAGCATAAGTTCAAACCCTCACCTAAAGAAGTATCAAAGAGAACTTCTTTATTAGATTCGCGCGTCACAGTGAAGTAGAAGTAGTCGGAACCGTCGACAGTACGGATGTTTAGCTGGAATTTACTTTTCCAAACCAAGCGAGAGAATGTACGTTCGCCGCGAACGATCAAGTATAAATCGCACTTTGCTCAAAAAACGTGGTATCGTTGCATGAGTGTTGCGCCTGCTTTTCATTATATCCTTGCCCAGTTTTCAGGTTGCACATTTTTTAGCATTAGAAAGAGCAAAAAGACATATTCTCGCACCTAAGTGATGTGCCTCCCAGGCACATCGGGGCTCTCTATAATTACGAGCTCCTCAGGAGACCAAGACATCGCAAGCCCCGCCCCTTATCCAGTGTTGCTCCAGATGATGAAACGGAATTTCGAATAAACTTTCGAAATCGAAGTTCAAAAGTGAATATGCTCCAATCAAGACCAAAGTCCGGATCTAGGGGTTTCGAGATTGTTCGTTAGTGGTACTTGTTTGTTGCAAAGACAACGTTTAGCAACGAGAATGCCTAGCGGAGATCAAAATTCGGATTTGTATGAAATTTAGTCCTAAATACCAGAATATGGTTGTATCAAAATAGACTGAAGCTAACTTTGAACTGGCGCGCGCGTGTATTATTCGTTCTGTGGAATAAGTTAAATTCAACTACAAAGAAATTTCCGAAATTTTAAAATAACCCGAGTTTATTTGAAATTCAAAATTGCAACGGTTGTTTCCGGTGACAGCACGTCTGCGACTTTTTTGCCTAAAGAAAACCTTTACGGGTCATATTCTTGAAGTAAATTTGGGAAAAAGCTATTACAGGTATAACCATTTTTTCGAGAACAGAAGAGAAAAATAAACCTGAATCAGTCTTGTTTTGAAAAAGGAGACCTTAAACCCCTAAATCAAATATTGATCTGTATTCAGGACTAAATTTTATGCAAAACTATGCCATGAATATTCTTTTATGGCCCACTCATAGTTTTGCGTTGGAAGTTGATGTGAAAGCAATATAATTTTTTCAAAATATTTTTTAATTTCTGAAAGTGGCACACAATAACTTTGCAATGAACCTTTTCCCGCGATGCTGTTTTCTTCTCTCAATAGCTTGTTAGACTTCGTTGCTTTTCCATGTGATTTATTGAGTGCTTAAAATACTGAAAACCAGACCAACCAAAACCAAAACCAGAACCAAATTTGAATTTCGTTGTTTTCAGAATAATAAAGATGTTTTCGCCTACTGTCTGACACTACTGCGAGCTTTCTAGGTCTGCTATGAAGCTCTCTGGCATTCAGCCAACCTTGATGACCTCAGTGACCTGTGATATATCAGGTTCTAAGAAATCCTCGGCTAGGTCATTATCAGCGCCGTACCTTGACATATTCTTAAGAATGAATCCAGGGAAGGAAATCACTACGGATTCACATATGTACCCCCGCATCTGGCACTAGTTCTATGGAATCAATTCAGTTTTTGTGAGAAAACATCTCAGCCTCCAAAAATTGTTTGAAAAGTCAAATCGCTATTGCTATTGCATAAAACATATATTGTTATGGATAAAGCGATTTTGAAAACCCGTAGATCTGAGCTTTGGTCTTGATTTGGAAAAGAGAATTTCGAAAACCTCTGAATCCGAATTTTGATCTTGGTCAAGCATTAGCAATGCTGAACGTTGACTTTGCAACAAACAGGTACCACTATGAAAAGAGCAGCCTCGAAAACCCTTAAATCTGAAATTTGGTCTTGATTGGAGCATATTCACTTTTGAACTTTGATTTCGAAATTTTCTTTGAAATTCCGGTTTCATCATTTGGAGCAGCGCTGAATAAGGGGGCGGGAGGAGCTCGTAATTATAGCGAGCCCGGATGTGCCTGGCAGGCACATCACTTAGGTGCGAGAATATGGCTCGGGTGAGAAACTTCCCGCACTCCATTGAACAGCTTGTTTCTCAAGTTGTATCTAGTCGGATGATTTCGAGCTTTTTTCAGTAGTTGCCCACAAACTTGCCAAAGCTTCATTTTTCCATCCGAGAAAAGACGATGCGAAACCTGCGTCCCGTCGCTGCATAAAAGTTTCATCATGCTAATTCCGCTCCTGTACCGATGCAGCCCAACCTGTGCGCGCATGCACTTTCAGGAGAGTGTATGCGTCGCAGACTTTGTTTGCTAGTGGGATCGATTTATCGATTTTCTAGCCAAATTTGCGCTGTGGGGCTGAACTTGGTAAAGAGCGTTAAGTGGGCATTCAAAATGTTCACAATCGAAATCTCTATGTTCTGAGTTTCTCTAAGGTACCCTGTAGCGTTCTCAATTTTTTGCGAATGAGACAGAGAATTAAAGTCAAATAATTGTATGGTTGTTTTGTTTGCACTTCGCGTCCGGAGCCGCATGCTGGATATGACTCAACAGAACAGCAATTATCAGGGGAATTTAGCTGCCGTATCAATCAGCCTTTAGTAATAAAGATACTTCGAATTTCCTAACAAACTTTTCGTTAGTTATTTCAGATTAATAATGATCTACGCAGCGGCGCTTGAGGTCTTGTCAAGTGCTGGTACCAATGGCAGCAAAAAATTTACCTGCAGATTATCTCCTCCCATAGAAGGATTGCGTGGAAGATCAAGTGGTGGTTCATATCTGAAAAAATCCTAATTGTATTATTCATTTATCTCAGAAAATTCCAGGGAGTGTCAGCGAGGACACATGTCAGCACAAAATTGCTAAGAGCGCGGTTGATACACTAATTTCGCAAAGTTACTTCTGGACTAACGCTTCTCCAATAAAGGAAAAATATGTGCTTGTATACATGTATGAGCTTAATTCGTTTTGTAAGGTTTGCATCAAGTTGTGGAATGCACCATGTTTGTTTGTTTCTCGCATTTGCTGTGAGAATGTAAAGTTTCTTGCAATGTATTAGAAATCATTCACTGTAGCCATTGACCTCGTCAAAAAAATGGCTCAAATGGAGCGGGTGAAACCAGTGCTTCAGATAATTTTGTCTTTCCGTCCTTTTTCTTACAAGGGAAGGATTTGGTGCGTGGCCATTTGGAATGGAATGTACACCATAAGATCATCTCGAAACGCTAATTCTAAATCTGCCCAAGCCATTTGCGAAGTTTTTTTGAAGGAGGTTATAAACATTTTTCTAAGAAACTTTATATACTTTGGAATAACTAAAATCACCATTGTTGGTTTAGTTAACCGTTTGGTGATATGACAAAAATCTTAGGCAGAGTATGTTGTATCTATACCAAATAATTCATATTTAGCAGTTATAAAGCAAGAAAAAATTTGCATTGATGAGTTTGACCCTCCACAGAAATGCAAATTATTTTTGAAAAATGGTCTTAACTCCATGCAGGTTATCGTTTCGCAGAATAGTTTTTGAACCAGAATTAAAAGGCGCCTTTTTCGATACTCCCTCACTATAAAGGACTACGGTCACCAAGTATCCTCCCCCGGCCAGCCTGCACGCCTGATCGAAACGGATCTTTAATTGCATGCCTAAAAACATCCCAATCTCAAAAAAAATTTCCCATCATGATCTAATTACTCTATATACTCAAAACGAAATTTCCTTCGAACAATGCGTTAAGTATTTCTCGAATGTCATGTTGAAAAATTTCGTTCACGTTAGATGGAGTGAATAGTCTTACAAATTATCCTTGGAAACATAGTCACTTCACTTAAGCCAAATATTTCTCAGTTGACCACTGCTTAAGGCAGCAACGAATTTTGAGCGGAGCTTTAGGATCCTGCCTTGATCGAGCAATTCAGCGCACATGAGCTCTGCTTTCTTACCGTCCTTCCACACCGATCTTGACATTCAAAGTTCTTCCAATGTAGCTTGAAGTAAGTGTGATCTTATCTATATCCTTCCCCCAAGGAGATTCTGGTCCGTCGTTCTTCTCTAATTCAGTCTTCTAAATCGGTTACTTCAATGATGGCAAGAGCGGTCAGTCAAGGGAAGCGCAAACAAGATAAAACTTACATTCCCATTAGAAGACGAAATTCTGTATCCAATCCCGGGTTTCATATAACACGATGGAATCCCTATCTGCAAGAAGATTTGTTTGAGGGACTCATACTAGGTGATCGTTCAGACCCACGTAAGCAGTACTCGATTTCCATATACAGTCCCTTCTGTGGCATTCCCCTGCATTAGCGCCTGGCTCTGGGAGACAGTCGAATCGTACTTCCTCTTCCTATGAATTTGCTTCAATGAAAGAAAGTTTTAGAAAGTTCATGTTAATAATTACGAACTGCTTTGTGAAATGCCTCATAAGCATAGGCTAGCAATGGACCCACCATAATTTTATTTCTCCACGACAACGTATATGTCAGTCCTTTTGCAATGTCAATGAGTCTCCTCGTTGAAATATACAGAATTTTCGTGTTTTCGTCATAGCGGCATGATTTCTTATTGATGTAAACCTCAAAAGTTCAGTGTTGACCCAGAATGTTGCAATTGTTGAGACCATACAAAATTAAATCAACAATAGATCAAGCGCAAACAACTCCAAATCAAAGAATAATGAAGAATTTGTATGGATCAAGTGCAGTTGCATAATTAGCATTTAACAATATATTTGAATGTCTGCAAAATGATCGCTCTCAATCAGTAAGTTTTTCTGTGGCAAGAAGATGTATACACATCGGTATTTTTAATGCCTAAGGCACGCCATACTTGATCCACATGACATGCTTGATCACTTCATCCACTTCGCGATTAGTCAAATTAGCAAATTACCAATGGCGAGCCGATATCCACTTGATCCTTTGATCCACTTAGCTATTGGTAAGCACACTGATTTGACCGTCAGCGAAGTGGATCAGGTGGGTCTAGTGGATCGAGTATGGCGTGTGCCGAAAGAACTTTTGTTCTGAAAGTGAGTACTGAAAATGAATGCCCCCTTCGTTTTCGAGTTTTTGAAGATTTGAAAAGAAGCATGAATTTTCTTAGAAAGGATGTTAATCTCTTCATTCCGCAAGTGCTGCTTCTCAGCACCATAATCATCAGCCAAAATTCGCTAGTTACACTTTTTTAGTCATCCGAAGTAGATGGAGGGAAGAATTTGTTCTCAAGCAGGTATAGATGGCATCAGCTTCTTGTTAGGTTTACATTCACACCACTACTTAGCAAGAATAGGATTTTGAATTGTGACCTCACATTATGCCTATGTACAGCTCATAAGTAAACTTTTACTAATGTTCCATGTAATTTTCATCTAAGAAAATATTCTTTCTTACCAAACCGCCATTCAACGTGAAGGTGTCGAAATCGGGATGAGCATTGTAGTTGAGAATCTCTATTCTATCGAGGGTTGGAACAAGATAGCTGGCGTTCTTGAAATTCCAAGAATTATTGGATGGTTACTGATATTATCAAGAAAGTAATTTTAAATACGTACTGCCTTTCTATGTGTTGTTACTACTAAACTCGAGACTACACTCGAGCTACTGTAGCGGAAAGTCCAGTGATAGTAGGGATGCGTTGCGAATGAATCGACAATGCTATAACCATTGTCCCAGTATAAGAAACCAGAAGCGAAACCGTACTCTAAAACTAAATTATCTATGATAATCCTTTGACCAGCTATAGATGAATTACAGTAGTTGAATTCCTATGTTGACGAAATGGCTACTTAATAAATTGAGCTTTGTAGGCACTATGTTCTCAGAAAACTCTCATACCCGATTTCTGCATTGAAAAATCACTTAGTTTTGTGATTTCCTGTTCTATTCCATTTTCTTAGAACTTCTAAATTTTTGGATTAGAGAATATCTGGTCTATGCCCACGTCTTAACTATTACTTTGATGCAAAATTCTTGCGAGTAAACAATATGAAAAAGTCGTCGTACAGATATCTGTGCTCAAATAAATCAGCTTTTATGAGCAAAAGTTCTCGAGTCCGTTACACTTTTAGTGACCCTCAACGAATGTTGTTTTAATAAAAATACTAGAAATTTCATTTACAAATAAGAAAGTTGAATAAAAAACGTAAACCACAACTTTTCGTAGAAACATGCGATCAGCACGACAGCTCATGAAATCAGAATAAAAGAAAACTCTAATAGCAGTCAACCCTTTTGCATATTCAGCAGTTGAATTTCCAGTGATTTCAAAGTTACTTTTGCTCTGCTTTCAAAAAACGACAATTCGAGCACCTCGAGAAAGACTTGTCTTACTATGTATCAGTTCAGCGATTTTTCCAAGAATAGACGACACTACTCAACTTTTCGACATAGTTATGCAAATGACAATTTTATCACCCTATTGAACACTGACTCTGATTATAAAAGTTTCAGAGATAATTAGTCTTCGCCAGGGAAAGTAATGCAAACTTACCATTATCCTTTAGAGGAGCAACTAATAGTTCGAATGGGTTTTCACGAGAGTATACGGTCGAGACATTTGGCATCTGACGAGGCAGTATCGAGCCGCCTATAATCCTCTCAGTGAGGTAAACGTAAGTTCATATCTCATCCGCACCTCTGACTAGAACTGGTATCAAAGAAGTCCATGGAACAGGGAAGTTGTGCACACCCTTTGTAAAAAGCTGACCGTACTCATGGTCGAATAACGAATACCAGTCATCTCCAGGCAGGTACACTTTTACTATTGTCGCTGCCTATAGAGTTGTCTTTGAAACTTCCTCACTCTAGTTTCTTTCAGGCTAACCTGCTCAACCACAGGAGCAATGAGCATGGAGCTGCCCCAAAGGAACTCATAGTTTAGGTCATGAGTCTTGCTGTCTTCCGGAAACTCATAGAATAGAGGCCTAATAACTGTTCTGCCGTATAGTGAAGCTTCAAAATGTAAACTGAAAGAAGGGAGTCAATAAACGCTGGAGGACGACAATGTATTTCTTCACCTATACAAATACGGTAGATAAGTATATCGAAATAGATTGGCTTTAATTGTAGCATCGGTGACCGATCTCCAACGTGCAGGATCTTGAGGTGGCATACCAAGGCGATTATGGTTTCTAAAGCATTGATTCTTCTTTTATGTGAGGAGGGAAAGAACAGTTTCTTTCCAGGAAAGCAAATGAACTCGAATTTTCATGGTGACCTCATGAAAGGGTGGAAAGCTCCCATTTGTTGCCATCTCAAACATAATTCCTCACTTGTTTCACCATTGAACCCACATATATCAGAGCCGACGTACCTAAACGTCACAACACTAGCACTTGAGTGACGTAAAAGCGATGCTATAAAACTTACGGGTAGCCAAACATATTGAATTCTTGTGCACCAATAACGGCTGATTGGAGATCTGCCCATGTGGCGCTGTTGTCTCCCAGCCAATGCCCCGCATATCGCCCTCCAGAAGGGAACGTAGACCTGAATGAGATTTTGTTAACTCTTCATATTAATATTTCTGATCAGCAAAATTTTTTTCCGTTGTCCGATTTTATATCAACTTGGCCCGGAAGTTCGTTCGCGTCGTTTTCAAAAACTGATGAATTCTCACCTTTTTGCAAGGTAATTGCATAAATTTAGTTTCGTTTAGTAGAGGAAAATGCGCTTCATAACAGTTTCTTTCAAAAGCAAACATTGCAGAGGTGGAAGCTGTGGAACTAAACTTACACAAATTTTGATTCTTCTTTGTAGGTTTGCCAAAAATCTGAAACTTGCATTAATCGGAGCGATTGAAATTATAAGTTTTACCTCCTGGTCCTACTAGCTGAGAAAAGTTTGGACTGACAAGCGTTTCTACTGAATTGTGATCTTCGAGAAAATCTCAAAAAAATCTCAAAAACACCATGCCGTTTCGTAGTGCTTGCTCGAAAATCAGTAATATCAAAAGAAAAGCTCAATCAACATATTTTTTGCTCAGACGAAGAGAGCAGGACATGAAACCTACTATTTTAACTGTTCCGATTAGCACATGTTGCAGACATTTGGCAATCCTATACAGAAAAATCAGGATTTGGTATTTTCTGCAGCATCTATCCCTGCAGCTTTTGCATTTTTAGAAAGAAAATTTAGAAAGTCTTGTAAAGTTGCTCTACATGTTTTCCTGTTTCGAAAGGAATTGAAGATTTTCATATATATCAGGAAATTTAGAAATCATGATTTTAAATTCGGTTTTTCTCGAAATTCTGAGCCAATGTGATATGCACAGTATACAGACTCCTGATTACTTTCAGCAACAAATTTTGTGGAGAAGATTATTCGCAATTATAATTTAGATGGAAAGGATGTAAACTTTGAAGAGGAAATTGTTACATGGAACGGTGAAAAATGACTTTTGCTTTTAACTGTAAACAAAATTAAGTCATTCTCATATTAGATCTACCTTGACACAACAACTCCTCTCTTCTTTGTCGCCTTATATTGAGCTTGCAGCGTCGCTTTTGCTTCACTCCACCCATAAATATTTTTCACATCATAGTGACGATATTCTCCACGATGTTGTACTCCACACATGCACATTGTTTTGGAGGATAAATAAGAATTCTGAAAATATCAACAAGATGAGACAGGGGTGTGGCATATAACAAAAAAACCGCGTCTTTGATTCAACTGGCTTGACGGCTGGAGCAGGGCTTTGTGATTGTTTCGCTCGCACTCGCAAAGCAGTCTGCGTCTCTCCCGCCGCGTGCTCTTTAATCATTACCTAGCCTTAATTGAGTCACGAAGCCCCGCCTTCCAGCTGCCAAGCCAGCTGAATCAAATGGTATATGTAGGCGGTTCATCGCACCAAAACGCGCTATGGACGCTGTCGCCATCTCGCTGATCATGCGCTCTTTCATTCCTCCTGCAGTATGCTGTCTCCCCCATGCACGAACTATCTTACCCGCACGCAAAGACGCCCAATCTGTGCGTGCGCTGAATTACCAATAGAGTTCACGAATTTGATGCCTGTACAAGCTACCTGTGTCAGCGCCGTCCCAGCGCTGTGCTACCGCCGTGTCGGATTACCAAGGGGTCCGCTGTTTTCGGCACGGCGCTGGCACACGATGAACAACTCTGTAAGCATCCGAACCACACTTACCTTGCCATATCGCCAAACGGCGCGTGTTTTATAAGGTGGCATATCCCACTCCCAGTCTTGCTTCGATGTGTCTACCGGACATTCAAGCTGGGTTATATTGGGGTGATCTGGATTATCAAAGTACCATGGATAATCTTCATTTGTGCCAAATGCTGCTGGTTCATTCTTATCAATCCAGATACCGTCGAAAGGAAGCTTAAAATCGAACATTGAATTAGAAAGTGTTTAGAAACATCTAATGAACCCACTTTCTTGTAAAATTCTACGAACTCGTCAATCCACCAGTTTGCTGTACTCTTTGTTGGTTCGAGAAAGTCAGGGAATGCGACATGCGCATCAGGCCAACCAACACTCAGCATGATCTTTGTGTCTCTTGCTAGCGGGTACAGGTCCTAAACTGTCTTCGTACTTACATATGTATGCAATTATGACTAAGCCACTCAATTACTTGAATACCACGAGGGACTTGATCTGCTCGCTCCCACTCAATGAATCGGGCGCTCTGAAAGCATTGTTTGATGGGAGAGCGTTGAACTTGCTATACACCCACTTTTTCCTTCGCTCTTCTAAAGGCATCATCGTTAACTTGTATGCCCACATCGAAGATTGGAATAAGCTTCATTCCATGTATGTGCAGATAATCGTCGGTGTAATTATAGAGTCCTTGCCACTTCTGTAAATACGTCGTGACGAGACTGATAATAAGATGTTCTGGAATCAAAATTACATTAGAGTCAAAAGTGGATCATAAACTCTGTCATAAATCATTCGAGTGCGCTGATTTCGTTGAATTGGTCTAGTCTGTACTCATTTGACGAGATATGCGTAAGCGCAAATTATCAAGGTGCTTAAAAAAGCTAATTTTTGCGTAATCGAATTTTGAGGTTTCAAGGTTTAAAGTAGAGTGTTGTGTCACGATGATTATTTTCCCTTTTAACAGAGTCTCCTGGTTACTTGAACCTGGTTACTGAACCAAGAAGCTCGTGGTGCCCATATTTGCATGCTTAGAACGCACTTTACACCCAGGTCTGAGCATGAAAAATCAGGAAGCTAGGATACATCATGTAGGTTGGAACGAAAGCTCTTTCCTCAGTTTTCAGAAACTCTTGAACCCTATCCTCTCAGGATTCAGCTGCCTAGAATTTATTAGGTAAAACGTTTTACGCTCGTTTTGAATGGAAGATCTAGCTGTTAGATATCGTATTCATAATTGGTATATGTTGGTATTCATAAAGCCAAGTTCAGCTTTATGATTACCAACACTCCGTTTTCGCATTAATAGCTAATTCGCAACAGATTCCAAATCCAAACAATAAGTTCAGGTATTACCCGTAGTATACGTATCCATTCTTCTTATCTAAAGATATTTACGCCGACTGTCTTCGTGTTTAGGCTTTACAACAAGCAATAGGAACAATATGCGAACTACTTTTTCTGCCATTTCTCGCAAACAGCACAAATTCTGTATAGTTGGTAAGAATAACTTTAGAACAATGCCGTCAATACCGATTCCTCTTGAGGCGTCCAAAAGACTCATTGCAAAGAAATGTTCGGTTTGAAGCTGATGTTGTTCAATGTTACAACCAATTTTTGTTTCGCGTCGTCGACTGGTTCTAGGCGGATTTTGAAGAGAGAACTTCGTTTTGATTCACGACATGAGACACAAAATGTTCATTTGTGGCTCAAGCCGCGTACGGATTTCATGGCTTTTTTAAAATCCACATCGGTGTGAACGTCGCCGGTTTCTAGTGGCTAGTATCTTTTTTCTTTTAAAAAATATATCTTTGCGAAACCACTTCGATAGTGCTAATAATATGACTTTTAAAGGACCTGACAGAATTTTGTTCAAAATTCAGATTCTTGTAACCTACTCAAAGCGATAAAATTATCAAACCTCGCCAATGGTGAAATCTTTGTATCTCTCCATGTAATCGATGTCTACCACTACTGTATCCAAAGGAATTCCTGCTGCAACATTTCGTTCGATTATGCTCTTCATCTCATCTAGATCCTTATAGCCATAACGAGATATCTAAAAAGACACTATTTTCAGCTGGAGTCAGTAAAATGTCTTATCTCGCATACTTGGTAGCCCAGTCCCCAATAAGCTGGCAAACAAGGCCTTCCGACCAACGCAAGGTATTGTTCCGTTACTTCTCTCGGAGTAGGACCTGGGAAGAAATACATGTCGAGAATGCCTCCGATGGTACGGTAGATAAGTGTAGGTCCAGGTGCTGTCGTAATCTCCTAAAAATTCTGTAGAATTTTTTTTTATACATTGGAACCCTCAGTAATTTTATATATGCTTTTTCAATGATGCTTGGTGGAAAGCTGGTGATGGTTGAAGGACAGTTGTGGAAGTGAGAAAGTGAGCCATGTGCTGACTTTTAACGACCTCAACTCTAAGTGCCTATACTTGCCTGTGCATTGCTATTGAGAATCAGCACTCCATGGGCTTTGCCATCTGGCTCCAATACCATGTAGAACGGATGGACCCCTGAAATCTTATATATAAAGCTGAATGTCTGTCTGTCTGTCTGTATGTATGTATGTATGTCTGTACGTATGTGCGGAATAGAAATTTTTATTTCTGAACCGATCGGGACCAAACTTGGCACACATATACTTCGGGGCAGGGAGCGTGTCATAGGCTACTTTTCGTTATCGATCGATATCGATTTTATTGATTTTTTGCAAAATTCGAGCTAGAGGGCTGGGATTTGGCAGAGGGGGGTAATCGAGCATGCTGATCACCCCGAAGGGGGTGATCAGCATGCTCGATTACCCCCCTGTGCAAAATCCTAGCCCCCTAGCTCAAATTTTGCAAAAAATCGGTAAAATCGACATCGATCGATAACGAAAAGTGGGCTATGACACGCTCCCTGCCCCGAAGTGTATGTGTGCAAAGTTCGGTCCCAATCGGTTCAGAAATAAAAATTTCTATTCGGAACATACGTACACGGGTCTAGCTGGCAGGCCCGGCGGAGCCGGGCAAGCCAGCTAGTAATTATTATAGATTAAATGATGTCAGATCCACTGCCATCAGACATACCGTAAAGATTTTTCGTTTCAATATGGTTCGAGCTTGGTGGTTCACCTCTTGCGAACATTGCCCATGTCGTGTACCGTGTGAAATTGTGCTAAATACGACAATCAATAAAACTTATCTTTACAGAAAGATTTTCACCTTCAGCGTTGGATGAACATTCTCTCCCCAGCCGTACATTTTTTCGGAGGGTAGCCTAGTTGCGATTTGTATAAATTTGTCAGAGAAAATCAGTCCGCCTGCAAACATGCCTGGGCATTATCTGATTGGATCATGAAGCTTACTGTCACCTTGAAACAATATTATGAGGTTAGCACTCAAAATGGTTGGCCAACCTTATTTCAAATTTTCGCAACTAGAGCGTCCACTTCAATGTTGGCAAAGCTTGATAGTTAAACGTTGCTTACATTAGGGGGCAAATGAAGACGGCTTTTGTCCCAAATATACAAAGTGAACCATATGAGGTTCACGAAAAGAAGTCTTTAAGAAGTTGCACGGAACAAATAAAACTGCAATTTGTTTACATCTGATAGACAGAGAAATTCTACATTAGCTTTCCAATGGGAATCAGCAGAGGTGCAACACAAGCTTTTTGTTCCCACATCGATCTAACAAAATTCCATGTGTTTGAGGTTGAGCGAGATGGAAGGCCAAAATTTCTCCAAATGCCCGTATTATATGTAGATTTCACACAAGTGCAAAATCTTCTTTTCGCTGCAGCTGGTGTCTGGTCTTGCTAAAATGTCCACGCAGGCTTTTCAACTTTTGAATCTGCTTTAAAAAGGAATTATATCCCTCCAAGCTTGCTTCCGCTGCTTTTCTAGTAATTTCAAATATGGCGACTTGTGATTTACATATGATTGCGCTAACGATCCACAAGCTAAACCAATGACTAAATTTCAGGTTAAGAATGAGCTTGATAAAACAAAAGAGCGTAAAGGAAGAGATTTTCATTGGAACATAGCAAAAGACCAAAGGAACTTTAGCAGCTCGTCCCACTTCATGTGACCATTCTGTATAATCTTAAAGGCAGTGTCTAAGCAAGTAGAGGGTCAAGGATTTCTTCACCAGATAGGGCATTGGGCGTCCTCATTATCTCCTAAGTCCAATCCCTTAGCGGAATATAAACGAGAAAATCACTTCACATTGCCCAAACCACCTTTCGGCTATCTAAACCGTCTGCGGATTTTGCGGCCAGCGCTAAAGTGCATGCCGCAAGGTTACGTTATGATCCAAGGTGCTATAAAGTCTTTAGCGTAAGCAGGAGGGAGGGGTGGGGGGCTACCTCCACTCCATGGTCAACTGAAAGGTTTCGGGTAACTTGTAGGACATCTTCTCGCGCTCCTTTCTATACTTGGGTCCGAATCGAATGGAAATTCGATCATTCGAATAAAACATTCGAATATATTCGTATTCGAAATTCGATATTCGGAGTTCTTCCATTTTCGAATAATATTCGAAACTCGAATAATTGAGAAAGCGGGGTTTCGAATAAAATTCGAAACTCGAATAATCAAAAAACTGGGTTTCGAATAAAATTCGAAAACTCGAATAATCAAAAAACTGGGTTTCGAATAAAATTCGAAAACTCGAATAATCAAAAAACGAGGTTTCGAATAGATTTTCTTCGAATGTTTTATTCGAATGTTTATTCGAATTCGTATTCGAATGAACTCCTATTCAGAGCTGAGTATCAAGCTCACTTTGTCCGGGTTTCTTTTTTTCGCAAAACTCGGTAATGCATCTTTTGCAACCGGTATACCTTTGAACTGTATGGAGAGTCGCATTCTTCCGACTGCTTGCGACAGTAAAAGAATCATATGTGATTTCAATTGATGTTTTTTCGATTAATGAGATTGTTCGCACTGCTATTGGCACCAAATCAGCAAAGAAGATATCAAATTCAAGCTCAAGTTCTGAGTTCATACTGAATTGAAATGGCTGTTCTTCTTTCTTTGCATTGCTCATGCTTGCGGTACGCAAAGCCCACACTAGTGAGCCCTCTTGCTCGTATAAATTATTGCAAAACTACCTACTCTTTACCTTGGAGTTTTTTGCGATTTGGTGTATATTGAGTAAAGGACATCGCGGTTGTAGTGCAGAATTAGACGTTTAGGTCGCTGTACGCGATTTGCAGTTACGAGATGTCTTCAGATGTAGTGGCAGCTTACCACAAATGTTTAGCGTGTACAACATACTAAAAAGATAAATGCCCTGCATTCTATACTTTTAGATAGGTTTTGGACAATTTGAGTATTGCCATACTACGTCGCCAGTGAAATGCCTGCAGTATGCCCGGGGTTATAGGGGCATTCGTGCTCGCTTCGCGGAGACCACATGCCTTCGTCCACGACTAGCTTATACGACGCAAGACGAAAGTCTCCGATGAACAGGCAATGTATCGTAGCATTTTTGGAATTTAAGTACATATGTGGCCACCTTATTGCTTCAAAAGATCGGCAATAGACTTCTGGCTGTAAGTCTCAGAAAATCCTAAATGAAACGAAATAGATGTTTGATCTCGAAGTTTATTGTCACGAATGTGCTCAATGGTCATAAGGATTGAATTTAGTAATGAAAGTTGAGCAAAAGGATAGATAAGCTGATGATAAGATAGCGGCCACACTCGTAGATTATCAGAGCCTCATTTTTACAGATCAGTAGATTTCTCGCTCAATATAGTGTTGCGGTGCCAAGATTTCCCGGCCGGCTTTTCACCGCAAAATCTTGGCACTCAAACAAACTATAATAGATGAGAAATTTACTATACTGCACAAACACAAACGGCAGCTACGGCATGCTGCCATAAAGCAGAGTATGGACGCGTAAAAGAACAGAAATAAAACTGGAAGAAGAAGCATTTATACTTGGACATGAGGGTTGTCATGAGGGTTCCAACCCACCATCCGTTAGTTCTGAACAGTCTTCATCTGAAGATTCATAGGAGAAGTTTTCCAAAGAAAGCGTGGAAATCTAGATACAGTGCCTTGTTACATTGATGATGCTGATGTGTTTTGCCCATATCCATATATCATACATATTCCAACATGCTTTAAGATGTTTTCCATATATGTAGAAAGTAGATCAATCACTTTGCTTTTACATTGTTAATTCTGATATGGAATCCCAATCATGTAGAAAGTAGAGCAAGCCCTTTGCTTTTACATTGTTGATGCTGATAAGAAATAAAGTTAATTTTGGTGTACATCATTCTCTTTCAGACCATTTGAAGAAGAATCTTTTGGGCACAGCATAAAAATTTATATCGACTGCTTTTTTAGATCGTCCAATAATGGGTAAAATATGACTTTTTGCTGATGTATAGACTAGTTGCCGACCGACTTTATCGATTTTTGGAAAATCTTGAGCTGCGGGGCTGGGAGTTGGTACAAGGGGGTAAGTGAGGGTGCTGATTATGAATAAAAATTTACTTTATCAATTTTATCGATTTTTGGAAAATCTTGAGCTACGAGGTTGGGAGTTGTACAAGGGGATAAGTGAGGGTGCTGATCAAAACCGAAATCTATTTTATTGATTTCAGCAGTTGGAAAATTTTGAGCTAGGAGTTGGTATAGGGGATACTAGGGGGCTGATTATGATTGGATCGGCTTTAGCCAGATATGTCGGCAAGTTTGATGTGATTGCTTTAGTTATTCGATTCATTCGAATATTTATTCGAAATTCGACTTGCAATGTTCGAATATATTCGATATTTATTCATTCGATATTTTTGATTTTCCGAATTTATTCGAAATTCATTCATTCGATATTTTTGTTTTTCCGAATTTATCCGAAATTCATTCATTCGATATTTTTGATTTTTCGAGTTTATTCGATATTCGTTTATTCGAGATTTTTTATTTTCGAATTTATTCGATATTCGTTTATTCGAAATTTTTCCTTTTCGAATTTATTCGATATTCATTCATTCGATGAAAAATTATCGAATTACCCAAGTATACTCCTTTCACGCCAGCACATGTAAGCTGAGTAGGAAAAGACTATCAATTAAGGATCTGTAAAGGCACTGCCTCAGTTCCTCTACTCATATTAGATCGGTCCAAAGGTTTGTAACGTTCTTCAGCTTTATTCTCAGATCATTCAGGATAATGATAGAGAACGCTTTGAACAGTGTTCAATGCAGCATTTCTTCTTTTTTAGCACTGCTGTTCTGATGCTATTTCTTTGATAATCGCTGCAGCAATCGGTGCAATTTTTGACCAGCGGTCTTTTATTTTCAGTTCAATTTCAGACTTCCGGAATAGCTTTGAAAACTCTTGAATAAAAAGTGCAATACAATGCAATTTTTGGCCTCTATACCTCGCTTTATACTTCTGAATGTTTCGGTCATCCCAAATCTCATGGAACATCAAGCGGAGAGCACCGGGCGTCATTCGATGTATAATTGGTTCGTCGACCGCACGGACTGAACATCACTGCGGAGCACGCGCCGCGAGGTAGAACGCTTGCCCCACTACAAATTCGCCATTATACAAGTCGTGCTCTCGCGACAGTTCAGTCGCGCCGCACGTGATCCGCAGCGTTTGAGCAGTTCGTGCGGTCAACGAACCAACGATAGCTTTTCCTCCTCTTTCTATTTTGCTTTTCTTTTCCTGAAGCGTAGAGGCATCAAGAATAAAATCATTGCAAGTTCTGTTAATGAGGGCTGTATCCGGAAAATTCGAAATTTAACACATTGACGACCGTTTGACACACATGGTGTGTCAAGCAATGACTACAGTGTGGGACCGCTTGACACACCATGTGTGTCAAGGCTTGAATCTTGTCGAAATGGTTTACTATCCTAGGATAAACTTATTCCATGAGCTTTCTTTTGCGATGAATTTAGGGATGACCTCTACCTTTTTTGTCAGCTCTTCAGAATTACTGTAGGTGTACTGTAGATGGCAGTATGCGTAATCATACGGAAAATATGGGTTGGTTCGCAAAAGGTATTGATCCCAGGAGGCAGACAACTAAGAATCTGCATGGTCGTCAATGTGTTAATATTTCGAAGAGGTGAACAAGGAAGTCTGAAGTTTCGGACCCTTATAAATGTTTGAAACGTTTTTGTATTTTAGGTTTCGCAAGACTAAAAACCTTCAGAAAAATCATCTTGAACATGTTGAAAAGCTAGGGCACCTAAAAAACTCATTCTTTAGCGCTTTGTTTACTCTCTCCGAATGTCATCAAAACTTTTGCAAAAGTTTAAAATGAATATTCTGAATTATCCAAATCTATAAGTGAAAGCCATGGGTTGGAGATCCCGACGATTGTTCGAGCAAATATCAAAAAACTCGAAATGGACAAATAGCTGCTAAAAAAGGAGTAAATTCTGCTTCGAACACTGTTTAAACTAACTGTCTATCATTACTCTGAGTGTTTAAGATAGGTCTGAAAACGCTACAAATTTTCGGACCAATCTAACAGATAGCAACTGCATAGTATAAGCTATACAGTTAGCATCAGGGCGAAGTTGCAGCATCTATTCCGAGTAAAAGTCTGATGAAATTTAATCTTTCTAAATTTTCTATTGATAACAGGAAGTGAATGATCACGTTCTTCCCGATGGAATGGAACGCATGCTCTGTTTTTACTCTCTATTCAGATGTTTGTGTCATCGCAAGCAGATGTTGCTGTGCAGATCTTATAGTACACACACACATTTGAAATTGTCTCCACATTCCCACTCTCACTAATAAAATCCATTTTTTTGAATATTATTTCAGTGCAGTCTTTAAGATAACATTCCGCAACATTGAATGCTTTAGCTGTAATCACTTTCCTGATTGCTGTCTAAAAGTGTACTTTGAAGGAGTGAAATCATGTGTGATTGTATCACAAATGTCAGCCTAACTCAAGGAACTGATAGCTTCAACAAAGTACATAAGCTCATTAGATCTGCTTATCAAAATCTACACCTTCTTTTAAAATAAACCAATCATTTTTGTACTTTAGAGCATTGAAAAAAATCTTACTGAGTGCAAGCTATTTGATTTAATAAGGCAATGGTCAGAAATCGTAGTGGCCAATCCAAACAAGCTGCATCCATTCGATGCAAATTAGAAAGCTGATTTCAAATCTGTCTTCCATATCTGCAGAGAGCATTTGTAAGCGAAGTTATGACCAGCTTTAGTGCAAAAAAGTCGTACACAAAAATTGCGAGATTAGGCACATCATTGCCCTTTTCGCTCACCTTTAGATACTGACCATATGAAGTGACCAACTGCTTCTTTTGGCCAGGAATGGCTCTGTACTAGACCAAAATAAGTTTGCCAAGTTTGCCCTTTACACACAATTTCTTAGCAAAATAATGGCCTTTAACGGCTTGTAATTCTATCCACAAAAGTGGTCTGCAGATAAGGAAGACAGATTTGGAGACAGCGCTTTGAGCTGCATCTAATTGTGTGCAGCTTGCTTGAATTGGCCACTTTGATTTCTGACCATTCCCTTGTGAGCTGCTACAAGACGGCTGTGATGCTGGTCAGCTGACCACTTTCAACAAATCAAGTGTTTTGCATTGTTCAGAGACGCCCTGTAAACGGGATACGACAGAAGTTATAGGAGCTTGCTTCAATAATTTACGCAAAAAACGCGTTGACGCGTTGAAGATTTTGATGACTACAGCCGTCTGACGATACTATACGCATGAGTTGTATTTTCTCTGTGAATTGTCCATGAGAAGGATATTTCTACTGGTGCCTTCAAACTGTTGCCCTAATTTTTTCACGAGTACAAGATACCTTCATTTCTTCAAGCAAGCAGCTTGGTTGCACCACTGTGCCTCGTGAGATGGTAGCCCTCGTACTCAATTCTTTTGGTGAAGGAGCAGCACGGTAGAATTTTCTTTGGTCGCGAAATTTTTTGGTGTTCTAGGGTGTCGAATTAAGAAAAAAGGTGCTTCTTGTACTTGCTAAAATCAAAGTACAGTCTGTGTTAATTAGTAATCCAATTCGCTGGGAACTGCGCATGCGCAACGCGAGGGCTTGCGTGCGGAATCCAATTAATGAAGCCAATTTTGAATGCATCAGCCATATGCGGGCGAACATGGCGCGAAGCTTTGGCGTGGCGATTGCGCTTACGATAAAGGGAGCGCGTAATTGACACAGGCTGTTACTTTTCTTGCCCTTGAGCCATGCAATACACTTCAGTACTTTTCACTGAATTCTAACATAGGTCGTTTCAAATTCAAAGCGCTTTCATTCTTGTCCTTACCCAGCTGAGGAGCGGTCGATTTGCGCAGGGTGCCTCCCTTGCAAAAACCTGATCATACTTTGAAAAGTATATCAGCTTGGGCGGAAATGATGCCCACTTCGAATTATTTTTGAAAAATGGAGACCTCAAAAGGCAAATCGAAGCATTTTCAGCATCAAATTTTGTTCTGAAGGAGCGTTTTTTGCACAGAGTGTTTACCGATCATGGAAACGGTGCTTACATGTCAATAGAAACAACTAGGGATTGGCTTGCTTCATAAGCTCAAGTGTTGAAAGCGTTTCCCCTGATCAAGAAAATAAATCATTTTTTAGGATTGGCAGGAAGTTCTGCACCGGGAATTGCTAGGCAAGATCAGAAGTCAACAGTATCAGTACGCAACTCTACTACTGCATAAAGCTCATCCAACAGAAGGACTGAATATATAGAACAAATTTTCTGCAGTTTTTCTGACAAAACATGACAAATACCGCAAACGGTGTCGCAACTGCCCCAACCTAAATGGAATCTATTTATAATACTCCGCACATCTCATTCTACCAAATCATAATCGGTCCTTTCTCTTGCACTTGCTGCGCTTATGAAGAATGGTTAAGGCGGTGGCTAAATGATTTTCATTAATAGCCACACTGCCCTTAGCGGATTTGACAGTCTGACGGCAAAGTGGCAGAAGGCCGTGCGCTTGAGGCAAAAAACAGTTGACTGATTTTTAGTGAAAATGGTCGATTTTGTTGGTTTATGTTAATGCTACTGATTTATGAAATAGTCTAATAGTAGTGTAGCTAATGATTCTCTTTCATCTCATCTGTCTAACAATGAGGAACAACTGACATAGGGCAGATTTTGTAGGTCAATGAGATACCACTCTCTTTATTTGAACTTTCATTTGCCCAAGTATATTTGTCTTACCGTCTCATGAACGATCGTGCCGTTTCGAACGTTTTTTGGCAATAGGGTTACTAACGTAACTCATGACCATGTCATTCGTGCTTTTTGTTCATGAGATTGCTCATCTTACCAATTGTAAAACTGTCACTAGTGCAGGCAATCTCAAGACTGCTGCATTTTTCAAAACATGCAAGATTTTTGTTCAGCGGCCCGGAGATAGGTAATAGAAAAAGAGTATCGAATCAAAATCCTGAATAAAGTCCACTAAAGCAAAATTTCGAAGAACTGGCACAACTTTGACAGAATAAGCTTCCTATACTCCTTCCTTCCAAAATGAAATTGCTTAAACTATAAACGTACCTGCTGAACTGTCAAATAAAGTTGTTCGGGTGGATTCACGGGTGACATTGAAGTGAAATGGATTGTCATGAGAGTAAGTGAAAAGCTGGAACAACATAATATTTATACAAAGGAGGTACTCAAAAATAGACAAAATGAGCTTTGCTAGAACTTACCCTCAGCTCATCATTTGATTTGGATGGTTCACGTGGTAGATCAAGTGGTGGTTCGAATCTACAGTGAATTGAGTAAAACTGACAAGTGTAAAGCTTTCCTGTCAAATATGAAATGTTACCTATTAGAAACGTATATTTTGACATTAAGAGTGGCTCCAATGTAGCTGCGGGTAAAGAAGATTTTTTCAAAATCTTCGCCCCAGGGATTCTTTGGTCCGTCGTTTCTAGTGAGTGTTATCACCTACATAAGTCTATTCAGACTCACGGCGAACAGTCTTACTTTGCTCTCTTACATCCGCTGCAGCTGACAAAAACTTGTAGCCAATACCTGGTTTCATGTAGCAATACGGTATTCCCTCCTGTAAACAGAATCCCTTGTTTTTTTTTTTCAATGAAAACGTTGTTACTCAAAAAAAAACTCATACCACTGCTGTGCTCTCGCTCCAGATGCAGTCTCTACTTTCACACTGCTCCTTGGAAGCTCCCGGCTCCGGATAACAGTCAATCCGAACATCTTCGCCTCTGGTCAAACCGAGAAGGAGAATATACGGCAGTAACCGCATTCTAAAGAAGGACTATCCCCCGACTATTGCGATATCAAAATATGAAGGCTGGTAAGCATGTGGTTAATTTAGTAGTACGGCACCTAAGCCTTTTGTGAAAAATCTTCCATCTTCAATTGACCTTTTGGTAAACAAACATTAATGATGATCCTGTTTAATCATTAGATAGATAGTGCAACGATAGCACTAAACGGTGCAACCAACTTGTATCGCACGAAAATGCACATAGAGAACTTTTAGAAGTTTAAGCAAGAAAAATTACTGTAACAGATATATGAGAGTTACCGTGATCTTTTTGGTACAATGAAAAGTAGTTGCAACAAAACGGTTTTGCTGAATGTCAAATAGTAAAAATAGCGTGATTCAAATAGTATTACGCCACTTATACGAGCTAAGAACTCAAAAAATGACTAAAAGAGTTTGCCGTCAGCTTATATGAACAGATTAATATAAAAGCCGATGGGCTGTAATTCACTGACACATGTCACTGATAAAGTCTCATGCTTATTAAAAAAAGTGGGAGTGCACTGATATGACAGTCAAATTGACCACTGTCGTTTGGTATACTGATAAAAGGAACACATATCGTCGGTTAATGTGAGGACAGGGCCCAATAAGCTATGGTTGTCTATGTTTCTTTTCCCCGAGAGGATCGTTGTCAACAGAGATCTCATAGCTTGATCTCATACCATAGCTGCTCGAAAGGAAGTTTGTTTTCAGGGACGGACTATGTGGAACAAAATTGAAGTCTTGAGCTCCAAAAAAATAATTTCGAAGCTACCCTATTTTTAGGTGTATAAGCCGCACCATGTTCGAATTTTCAAGCGAGCTGCGCAGCGTCTCACACTGTTCGAAAAATTCCTTAGCACGATTCTCTCAGGCAATGCACAGCACCATATAGGGCTCTTTGGTTCTTTGGCTGGGCTGGTCGAATTAAGAAAAAAAGTTTCCCGCGGCTTATGCACCTATAATGGGGTAATTCGTAGAACAATGTAAAGATAACGTAATATTTTTTCTTGCAGAGAGTTTTATCACAATCGACTTGGCGACATTCTCTCTATGATAAGAGCTGTTTATTGTTCGTATGAAAAAGCTATAACGAAAAAGTTGAGACTAAGAGAATTCGAGGAATTTCCTAACAATGCTGCCAGATTTCTTTAATCGCAATTATCCTCTCAAAACGATGCAGCAATCAGAGCATAGTTCATGCTTGTGCTCGGTTACCAACAACTATTAGTTGATGAAAGTGCAACGTATAAGTCTTGATATAACTGTTCACTGAATGAGGTTAATGTACTAGGCTGCTGCATAAGTTTTATCCGATTTTTCTGCCTTGTGTTTGAAGTAGCCGTTCTAAGAGATTCTCACTCTCAGTGATATTTTAGTACCTTGAAAAGCGCTTTTCTTCCTCTTTTTGAAACGTATCATATTTCAATAAAATCCTCAGTCTACAAGATTGCGGACCTATTATCCCCAGATGGTCAAGACACGTTCTCAGCTTGGAAAATGCTCTTGCGAGAAAATTTACAATATGGTCTCCAGGTCAAAACCTTGTACTGGTTACGGAATAGACGAAACAGTCCAGTATATGCACAAATTACTTTCATGCAAAAATAGGTCTTGCTAGTAAGATTTGTTGTTGAAAATAATTATTTGTACAGACAAAGTAAGTTCTACAGACAATAACTTTCCGTGACTAGAGGCAGTCGATGAGTCTAATGTTGTAAGTGCTAGAGTAAAGCACGAGCTAGCTTTGCCCAGCCACCAGTTACTTTCATCCGCCAAGTGTAGAATCTTCATAATTTGAAATTTGGCATATAGTATAGTTGGCATGTACTAAAACGAGATTGAAGAACGGCTTCGTTTCTATTCGGTCAAAAAATTCTCTCGGTAAGAAGATCCTATGGGCACTTTTAGGCTGTAGAATAATCTTGAAAATTTTCTCTATCTACCCATTGCTACCTAATATCTGTCTTTACTCACAAGCGAGCATTGCCATGTCAAAAAAGACGGGTTCGGAGAAAAACGCAAAGTTTCTGAGTTCTCGATTTTTCTTTAACAGGGCTTTTTGCAAGAAGTAGTATTCCTCTAGTAGCTACAGAATGGCTCAACACAAGTGTTTCTCAACATCGAAACTAAAATCATGGAAATAGGTTGATTTGAAAGAAGTTGCGATATTTTGAATTCGAAAATTTGAACCGGACAGAATTTGTGCAACAGCCTGATATTCAAGTCCGTTAAACTATATATATCTTACCCTTACTTTTTCTACTTTGTCATCGCAGTACCCCTCTTCTGACAACTGAATTTCTTCTTGAAACCTCCCTACTGCACATCCGAAAACAATGTCGTTGATTCTTTACCATAAGGGGGTGATAATTTGCCAAATGCTCCAAGTTGGTCATAAGCACAGGAGTATGTTATAATCATCCGGAGCATTTATTATTTCTTGCTCAAGGATGTTTTTGCTAGTTTTATTTAGCTCGGCGTTACCAGTATTGCATTTCTGATGTGGTATTTCTGCTTCATATGTAGTGTTTCAAAATGTTACCACTGACATTCGAGTTATCCTTTGAGAAGCTCCTGCTACGTTATATGTTATTTACCTTGGGATTAGCCAGTCTGCATTCCCCATCCATTTTTCAAACTGCAGAGGATAGCTTGGTTCAACTTCAGCCCTTAAATCAGTGGCCGCTACCCAACTGACTGCCTCAGCGAATTTTCTTCACAAATTACGAGCGATAGAATCAAACTCAGCGAAGGATCTAGTGATTTTTAGTGTAAATATGCTAGGTAGGGATACGCATTCTTGCTTGGTTTGCGTGCGAGAGCATTAGCATAAACATATCTATTTTCGTTCTTTCTTTTGTTAAACATCCTAATGTTGCATATTCAGCGTTTGGAAATTGCCGAATAAGGGGTGTCTTATAAGCACAGATCAGTAAAAAAACGAAGTTATCAAACTGGTCTGACCTAAATAATTTTTCACAAAGCTCATTTTCTGGAGAAAATTTGATTTGACTTTGTGGAAACCTGAGCTACATAATGTTGCACTTGCGAAATAAGTTCCCAGAGTTTAGGATCTGCAATACCTCTCGTAATTCGCCAAGAAAGTTGCCGCCAATTAGACCAACATGCTTGATGGGCTCCCCACTCCTGAATACGAGGGCCTTGCCAATGACACCCGACGCTGCAAAATAAATGAACCAGCTAAAAACGGTATGTAGATATCGAAAATCCTGATCTCCGATAATTTGCGCACACTTAAATGAACTCTGTAATTTTATTCTTGAATATGTGAAGCTAGAATTTTTATGAGTGTGATCGTTTGATTTGTTTATTATATGACCCTGACTGCAAATTATTTTCATCAGAAGATGTGAAGTATTATAGAAGAAATCCCATAGCGAATATGATTAGGATTATTGAAATGCGTGCATCGTGTAGCCAGACACATTCTAACTGAGCGCCTGCTTTATTTAGACACTTCAGCACAGTAATTCAATGTAACCTCGATGCCTTCATGTGTTCGTTGCTTTCTGATTATCTCCTTGATTTACACACAACGGAAGACAAACTTATAAACAAGTTGGCTACTGATATGGGCTCGAGATTTTTCTACAGGAGAAATACATTTTTGAAAGTTTTAGAAAACACAACTTGGCTTCTTTCCAATCATGCTAGGGCGCAAATTATTGTCAAAGCAGTCACATAATGTGACAATGGACGGCGGTTTAATGAGTAGCGTGCTCGGATCCCGCAACTGCATTTCTAAATTTCGTTTCAACTCAAACTCCTTGGCTTCTATATGCTAGGCTTGACCCTCAAAACGTTATCTCCAGACATCAGAGAAAGTGGTACTGCTTGTTTCAAACTCAACAAGTATAGAATATTATTAGGTCGTTCCGAAAGTAATGTCGCTTTTTTCAAATGAACGCCACATTTCATGGAATCAAGATTTTCAAGAGATCTTGCAAGCATTCGATGCAGCATTTTATCCTCTTTCTAGTGGTTGTAATTTCATTGCATAATTCTCATTAAGCTTGCGAAAAATTAACAAAATCTGCAACTCATGCTTTTTGCCATGGTCAAGTTCGGCTAATTTTCTAAATTTTTGTACCCATTCTCCGAAGAAGCACAAGTACAGGTAGATAGAGCAAACTCTATAGGACCAGAGTAAGTTTTTTCTTTTTCTTAGCTTGCTATTCAGTGTTTCTGGAATCAATTTTTCAATGCCATGGAATTCCATATTTCGTCAGCTCATACCTCACACAACAACAACCGGCAAGCAACTTGGGTGTCATTCAAAGCAGCTTTTTCTCCTCTTTTTGATAGTTGTTTTTGGTTTCCGATTCATTAAGCTTCCCGAGATAAAATCATCATAATTTAGGGTTTCCAGGGCGCCCTAGGCTGTACCCGGAATTTTCGAAAGTTGGTAATCTGAAGCGGTAAACGCTCATTTGCTTTGTAAAATTAGTGACAAACCATAATCCATCTTTGTGAGTTTCAAAATCCGACGATTTCTTGGTGTTTGATGCATTTGTGTCTGAGACGAGCCTGCTAAAATTCGGTGGTTCCATCAAAAAATCTATACAGAAATTATGACGAGCTCTGGAAAGTAGAAAAAAGTTGTGCTGTTTCCTGTAGGGTTTGCTCTATCCATCCATTACTTGGACTCCTTCCGAGGGCTGCTATAAGAATTTTAAAAAAATTTTGAGACTTGGCCTTTTCAAAAAGCGTGGGTCGCAAATTTTGATAATTTTTCGAGAGGTTATTGGATTTTATGCCGTGATTGTATAACCATTAGAAAGAGAATGAAATGATGCATCAAATGCTACCAGAATATCTTGCACATCTTTGTTCCACGAGATGTGGCTTACGTTTGAAAAAAGCGACATTACTTTCGGAACGACCTAATATTTGGGGAAGCGGCAGGCGAATCCCATGTTACGTTTTGCGAAGGCCTTTCATCTTTGGCAGAAGGCTTTGTCCGCGTACAATTTAAAATTCGTGACACACAGTGCTTAATCTTTACTGCAATATGACAGCAAAACACGAAGGCTCTTCTCCTCTATCATAAAATGTCCACGTTTTCACAGTGAGACACCTATGCGGTCTTCTTGCATGTGTACTTGGTTGTTTGTGTGTAAAGTAGAGTAATACCTTGTTGGTCTGTAAAATACAGTAAAGAAAAACAAGTTCTTTGCTCATGTTTTCATGATTGGGTAAACACATAAACACTGAGAACGATTGATAGCCAGGGTTGCATTGCCAGTGCCGTCTGCATAACAGACAATGGCGAAATGAAAACTCGTTTTTATTTGGCCACCTCCTCTCATATAGGGCAACTTTATTGCTCGACCTCTGCCAAAGCATTGGTCCATCAGATTATACATTAATGTTGGCGTCGATGCTTCTTTTCCTGGCGCTTCCCGTATTTGTTTTTGCTGCGGATGAAGTGGGGATGAAATCCTCAGTTGTCCACCTTCTGCAAAACTTTCCGGATCTCCAAAGTACGCTAGCGGCTCTACCAAAGGTATATCAGCGTTATGATCTTTCGTCAAATTATATTCCAAAATTAGTGAATGAGTAAGATCAGTTCAAACGTGGTTATTCAAATCCTGCATGAATCGTAAGATTTTAAGAAAGTCATACGCTGCAGATTTTATTCCAGGAATGCACCAAAAATGGAAAAACATACAAGGAGGGAGAAGAGTTCAGTATCGGAAACCTGCGATATAAATGCCAGCCGCATGGCGTTTATACGATTGAAGGTACGATGTTTAAAAATGCTTCCATATATATTGATGCAAATGATGTCTAGCGCTTGCTGTTGAAAATCCAATGAGTGATTTTTCTTTCAAGGATGCGTCACGGATCATAAAGAAAATTTGAAGATTGGAGAAGTTGTCGTCAAAAACAACACCAAATCACAGTGCTTAGGCGCTGGAAGTCAAGTGTTTTATAGAGAGACTGTAAGGCTCCTGTCTCCAAGCTATACAATTTGCCTGATTATTGTCTTCTCTAGATTTGCGGTATTTTGGGTATGCCAGAATGTGATAAAGTAGGCCCACCTAAGCGCTATGAGGAGGCGTTGAAAAAGGCTTCAGAAAACACTGGGAAAACCAAAGAAGTGAGCTCATTAACAATATTCACTACGTTCTTCAAAACATTCTTACAGATCTCAATGCCTGGCCTTCCACCAGGCTGGAAGGTCGTCGATCAAACTCGACAACCTATTCCTGGCACAAACAAAGGAGTACTGTCTCATACGCTCGTATTCGAACCACAGGCGACAGGCGGCTCAAGGTAGCTTGTGTCGAGCTACAGTTTACTTTGCAAATTTATTGAATAAAGATAAATTCAGAATTGCCCAAGATGTCAATGTCTGCATGTAGTGATAGTTCTTTATGCAGTGACTGTTCTCCATATGAAACTCAATGAGTTGTAGGAAATTATGTCGACTTTTCTCAGAAAGTAAATGGATGCTTCTAAGTGGGAACCCATTGAAGTAAAAAGCGGAACACTTTGTTTGCCCAAATATTATGCTATTTGCTCAAGGAAACCTTCTCCCAAACTGAGGGTGTTTTGAGAAGCGTAAGACAGCGAGACCGACGGCTAAGTAAATTGATAATATTTTTCCAAAAATACCTGCTCCGCTTCTACCCTCAGACAATTGAGTAACTGCTCAAGTCTTGCTGCACAGAATGAATTTTGGTGCTCGAAAATTGCTTCAGAAGGTGCTCCCCGCTCTGTGCCTGCCTTATTGTGATTGGTCCGAAAGAAATGTGCGCTAAACTGGGTTCTACGTAGCTGGATACAAACAAAATCTCTCTTTCGACAAAATTAGATTTTTGTTACATAGCTACTTGAAGCCCCTTAGCACAAGTCATTTTACCACTCACGTTGATGGGTGGAACGGATGTGTTAGTAGGTACATACCTACTGAAGCGATTCCCTTGCTTCGTTCATCTTTGCACTTTCTGGACTTGTGCAGTCACATAGTGGACCTTCCTATTATACAGTATTATACTCTTGTGTGGAATCATACTTCCATTTAGGCATTCAAGATTTTTTATGTGCCGCCATCTACGGTATACTACAGTAGCTCTGAAAGGCTGACAAGTGAGATAAACGTCATTTCTAGATCTAGCGCAAAAATAAATTCATGGAGTGAGCTTGTCTCAAAAAACCGTCATTTCCAGCGGTTTATAACCTTTACACCATAGTCGTCAAGCAGTGGTCAATAAGCATGTTTTCGTTGCTTTCAAGCAAGTTTACTGCTTAGCATGATACCTATAAAGCGCGAACTACATCTATAAAAGGTCAAGTTGTACTAAATGCAAGACGGTACAAGAGGGTTTATGCGCACTGTGATACAGATCTGTTTTTGCAGGTGATTACTAGAGATATTTCTGGGGTTACGAGTAACGTACTCGGTAGCTCGCAATGGTGACTTCCTTTTGCAGTATGTATACAATATAGAATGCAGCAACAAATTCATTGCCGTGCATGAATTCATCCAGTAATGAAAGAAAAGGAACCACTTAGCCTACTCCATTTTTTACAAAAGGCAGATTTGACCTTACAGAATCATTGCCGATATTTATGTCAATATCTTCAGTAGAGTCCGTCGACAAACTGGAAGAGGAGTTCCTATCCTTGTTGCTGAGGTGGATGTTGGAACTGATAAGCCACCCATGCCCTTGAGTGTGGCTATGGGTGGTAGAAAGGTGAAGGGAGTCCTAGAATTTGGTGTTGTGAATCTCAATGAAGACATTCCAGATCACCAATGCTACTAAAGAGTCTACAACGCCCACAACAGAATCTAAGAAAGATCCGAAATTTTTGTATACACAAGATGTAAGACAGACGTTGAATATCAAGAATAAGAAGTTCGCTTTTGATCCTGTTACTCACTCATTCTGCATAAGTTCAGCGAGATAATAATATTTAGCAATGAAAACGCGGGAAGAGAGAGAAAAGATGTCAACAGCAGGATACCACATAAATGGGATGTCAAAGGAACTGTTATAGTAAGTACATATCATAAATAGTTATTATAGTATAGTAATTATCCAAGACTAAACTTTAACAAGTGTGACATGAATGATTTTAGCCTGAACCGGTCGTTCCTTCATCACGTCCTGGAGGACACTGATATGGCAGACAATAATGCGTCATCGGATCTGAGGCTCCCGCCAGAGTGCCGAAGTTATGCCAGCGCTACGCCAGCATTTCGATCGATACACGTGTATTTCGTTGGGGACGTCAGCTAGCTCCGCCCCAACAAAATACACGTGTATCGATCGAAATGCTGGCGTAGCGCTGGCATAACTTCGGCACTCTGGCGGGAGCCTGAATAGCATAGCATGTGCCCATCTAGGGACAAAATTCCGAGTGGTAGTCCCTTAAATAAGTGAAGATGTAGCTAACAAGGGAAGAATACTAGGTGACCGTGGCCTTTTGCAGTGATATGTATACTAGTGGATGCACCTTGAAACTTTGATTACAAACTTATTTCTAATATCTACTGCGCGACTCTCTGAACGAAGTTCCGGTCTTTTTTCCATGCTAATTTCATCAGATTCAGGCAGTCAGAATCGTCAGTATTTAGGCTTTTTAGACTCGGATACGGAGAGTTCTTCCGGGCATAACGTAAAGCTTTATTTCAATTGGTGAATCTAGCCATCAAAACACTGCAAGTTTTGGTGGCAAGAAATGTTTATGACTTCTTTAGGAAGAGCGCGCTGCAGATACCGAAGGCAGATTTGGAATAAGGGTTCCAAGTAGCATTTATTGGTGTACGTTTCATTGCAGAAGGCAGGCCACGATCACCGAGTATCCTTCCCTTGTAAGACTTTTTATACTTCATAACTTGCAGTAGGCTCGAAACATCGATACGAGGAGAATTTTCTTGGAGCACTGTACGTAAATGTGCTATTTCGTAATGTTTTCTTCGAAATCTCTCGTATTGTTGTTTCTGATTCGCGACGTCTCCGTTGCTTATTTTGTCGTTACGATAAAAATTCCTTTGATGCACTTACGAAGGTACTAAATATTATATCTCTTCATCATGAACCAAACATTTATTTAGCTTCTGATTGAATCTTTTACTTCCAAACAATAATGGAAAGGGGTCGAAGCGCTACCTATAAGTCTTGGAGCAAGCTCTTTATTCTTGTTGAGTCAATGTCTAGAACATTATCAAATCTTTTATCTTGGAATTCGGATGAATATGCAGTAGCATGCACTTCCATAGCATTTTATAACTTTTATTTCTTGGGATCATCTCCTCTATGTTATCCATTGAGTCTACGCTGAATCAGCCCCAGTGCTGTAGACATTATTCACCATCGATGTTCAATTTCATTGTCCAGTTCATCATCATAAGCTCATGCTGTTGCTTACTTTAGAGTCTGCTTTGTTTCTCAAGGTGTTGTACTTTGCACCTGAGAAATCATACAATTAGCACACGAGTTTGCTAGGTTTCTGATTATAATTTGCTTTAGAAGTTTTGGCGATGAACATGATTTTGTCACCTATGTGACTTTTCCCTATTTCCTAGCTCTGTTCCTATACTTTTACATAAAAGATTTACACTAGTTGCAACCAGTGTTACTATAAAAATTTAAGACGTTTACAACACCACATATGACGCTGGAATAGACGTTTCTATGATTGAACCTGCACTGACGATCTTATGCAGCTTAATGCTGTTCCGTTGTTAAAGGCAGCGGCTCGGCAGAATAGACCTACCTCAGACTTTGACACAGATGGATAGGAGGCCCTCCAAGTGTACCAAAACAGCAACTCCGCGCCGAAAATGTGAACTCTGCAAGCTAGGGGGCGGCCCAAGCGCCGCTCCCCTTCCTCCTTTCGCTCCCTTAACACCTTGTTCGGACGAGTGTGTTATCCGCTAGAAAACGCGCCGTCACTCGTAGCTTTGTAGGGCAGAATTGTTCTAGCGCTATCTACCTCCTTACTCTCCGTCTCTCACTCATACGCGCCCGTCTCAAGGGGGAGGGGTCAAAAAGCGGGGTTTTCCCCATTTTCGTGCTGAGGGAGTTCATATCGTGATTCAGAGGGCCGGAATACCCCAAAATCTGCCAAAACCCCGAGGTTGAAAATCTACCGAGCCGTTGCCTTCAAGGCAGATCCTAGGGTTAGGTTTTCATAAAGAGCGTGAGGATAGCACATTGACGTCAATGACTATCACTGCTTGGGGATCGGCCATAGGTTGCGGAAACTGTTGCCAGGGTAGCCGAGGCGCTGGAGTTGCCGAGGTGGGGTTGCTGCCTAGGAGCGCTTAAGGCCTAAGGCACACTCCGCGATTCCGTCAAGTCGCTTCATCAACGCGACTTGGCGATTTGTCTACAGATTCACCGCGCTGGTCCCAAATGCATAGACATGTAGCTTCTGTGAATTGTTGCGAAAGCAAGTTTGGCCCAAGTAGAGCGTGCTCACGACCACTTATGAGGATTCGTTGCAGCGCCAGATCGCGCAGCGACTGAAATCGCGTGAGGTATGCCTCAGGCCTAAAGGCTACGTTCCGTCAAAATTTCAATCTCCGGTTTATCACCTCTACCGCGCCTTCCACATGCTAAATCCATATTTGGGCTTTGTAGCACTTGAAAATGGCGGAACTAGGCTTCTTCGAAGTTTCCCATATTCCGTGCCTTATCGTGTGTGCGTTGCAAACGAGCCATTTTTCATTTTATGGTAGTCGGAAATCTCCAGAAAAAAGCTTGCCACAACCTTTACCCACGTAATTTTTCCACAATACTCTGCGCTATGCTCTTCAAAGACATTTGATTACAACTCAATTGAAAAAATTTAAATGTTTGAAAATGACGCGCGAGCAGATCGTGCTTTTGCATGTTAGCCGTGTAGCAACTTGTCGAGAGAGTGTACGAACATGTCAACGATATTTATTACCCTTTGCTTTCCAGCTGAAACGATTTCCAGCTTGACATTTGCCCACCTCGTGCCTGCCCCGAATGGGGGCGAAGGGATCATCGGGGAATCGTACAAAGGGCCGCATGCATTAACATCCCCCGGGAAGGGGATCCCAGCTCCAAGAAAGCTTTCTATCCTTCCTATCCACTCCAGATGTTTTCTCTCTGTCTATCTAACCCTAGGCATTCCTACTATCCCCCACTAAAAACGTATTGAACAGGAGCGAGAAGTTGCCGTAATTCCCAGCATGTATAATCTTCTAATGATCCGGCGGCCAACCGTCTTCTCTTCAGTCATTTTTCTTTTGAAAGTTGAAACAGAAACAAAGTTGTACTGGTTATCTGACACAATAGTGCTAAGCATGTTATTGATAACAGCACATGATGTACCGAATCTTTGAAACTTAATAAATCAAAATTTTTATTCTATTTCGTGCCGTCCTGAGCGGATCTTGTGTGCTTCTATCTTCATAAGTTATCCCCTTAAACGTTACCACCTTTAGGGCCGGGCATACTTCACGCAACTAAGTCGTCGTGATTTCCGATCGTTGCGATTTGGTGAACGTGGCCATGAAAATGCTGCAACCAAATTGCTAGTTTCTCGTCTATGGGCATACTGCTGCGGCGATTCGTGTATCCTCACAATTGAGCCCATAATACAATCTCAAACTACTTAGACGTATTACTGAAACGTCGCAATTTTTTCTTTATGTAGACTAATTAAGTTTCATCTGAGTATTAATTTGATGTTCTACTTTTTTTCCGTTTTTATCATTTGTCCACGGATTTTCAGATATTTTCTTCCAATTATGAACTCATCTCAAAGGACTTGAGTTGCGCTTGTTTCAGTCTGCCTGCCATCAAGGAAGGATATCCAACATTGACAGCATAGTTTTGTTCATTGTCGGAGGGACCATTTCGGGAAGAAGATCAATAAAAATAAGTTGCACACAAGGCAGTATTTGAACTTGCGCTTGACAACCTTCGCATATATCCGCCATTGCCTCGACCCTTTGCCGGACTGTAGGTGGACTGATTGTACTGCTATACGTTTCACTTGCGTTTCTTGACTGTTTTCCACCTATATACCTTTATACTTGTCCACATGTGGGGGTGTGGTGCAAAAGGAACGGTAAGTAATTGCCAGCCGCTGGTACCAGTGCACTAGTTGCCTTCACAATTCGCAAATTGCAAATTTTAAGTGGTAGATATGAAACTAACGCTTTACTCAATTTACTCAATAAGTCTTGCTTATATCCCGGTGGCATGTGCAATTCGGTGGTGATCCTGTAAGAATAAGCTTGAAATACTTGAAGTTCCACCTTTGAGACCCTTTTTTGACATTTTCAGCTAATTCTCACACCTTATTTTCAAGCATAACAATCTATCCGATTCTCCTGTCTGGACGAAAGCAAAAAAAGGAACTGCTTCAAATTTCAGTGTGCTGAGGGACAAAATGACGGTGAAGTATGCGCGAGTTATTGACACCCGCCAGCTATCGTTCATCTTGCTCGCCACCCCCACATTTGAGCATGACTAAGTTCACCCACTGAGTACACTCTGACAATCTACTAAACTTGATATGTCAATTGTCAACCACTTTCAGCCATTCGTTATTTTGACCTGTGCATTGGATCCGTGTTTACGGTAATTTTCAAATAAATGATACATATGCGAATGTGATTCCAGTACCGATTCCGTAATAATCTTGCGCATTCTCCTCCATATTCTCGTACGCAAATACTGCTATTGTTTCTGACTAATTTTCTGTCCAGACTACGGAGTAACTGTTTTACATGATAACGTGTTAGACGCTCTTTTGTTAGTCGTCATAGTGACTTTTGTCAGGATTTCCATTGTTTCTTTTACACATGTGATTGTGATAATTTGTTGAGTTGAGCCGAAGTAACTGTGTTTGCGTAAATTATGTCTCAGCATTTTTGTTGCAAAGTTATGTATAAACAGTAAATCTATCTCACTTGATCTTCTGTGCCGTACAGGTTTTTAACGATGACACACTTTATTGCCTGACGTTTCGGTTACACACCGTCTTCAGAGGTCTGGAAAGTGTCAGTCACATTGATACCACTCTACTTGCTGCCAAGCCCTCCTCCCATCTGCGCACTCGATCCGTCTGGGATGAAGATCGAGAAAATCTATTGTTATCTGACTTGACCTTGCGCCTACTAAGAACTGTAAACCA